ATAAACTCGCCTGACAATGGCCGACACTGGTACATGTTTATTCTTAATCCACGGATGTAAACATTTTGTATTGCCATTGAAAAAAACCCGCGCTCATATAAACAATAACCATACATCACACAAAAGATTTTTAACCTTCAATTTTCTCTTTGACATCCACTTAAAAAATACGATTTCATTTTATGGATGTGGCTCGTGATCAACATCTCAATTCTCACAGTTCCTTCTGTAACTATCTTGTTGTCTAATTTAAGATACTTAAACGCCGACTTCCTTTTCAAAGTTGTACGTAATAGTATCTGAAAATATTGCGAAACCAAATCATAACAAACGTTTTTTCATCCGACTGATAGAAAAATAATTTTGTGGATAATTTCCGACACACTGATTAATCAATTTGTTGAAACTTATTTTTCGAGATTCCTATTCTTTTCCGGAATGTATAAATTATAAATCAGGTTTATTTATTTTACAACTGAATTATTCTTACTTAATACATAAAATATTTGTTTTTGCTCGGATACTAAGAGGTACTCAGGATGTAATTTTTAAAAATGTAGGTATGTAGATATGTAAGTATGTACTTCTATTCCGTTGCGACCGTCTGCAGCTTAAATAAACCACTTGACTAGTTTTGAAGTGCAAGGTATCATTCGGTAAGGTTAGTTAGTAATTCCTTCGAGTGTATAGCGGGTAGAGTCGATCAGGTTTCTTAGTTGTTTAAATGAATTTCACGTTTCAATCTCCTATATTGTAAAAACAATAATAAAGTTCACGCAGTTCAAGCGATGTAGGCATCACGAACAATGCAGTTACATGAGAATTGGTCACAGTGAATTAGAAAGCGTTCACGACAAATCAGCACCGATCGCTATCGACCGGAGAATAGATTGAAACAATCATGTTTTATGACTGTTTATGATATCAATATTTATGATTCACTTATTATTTGCTTCTATAATATATGTAATACGATAATTCATTTTAAGAAACTGCATTATAGTTTAACTTAATTTTCCACCGGGGAAAATGTCATAAAGCATATTGGTATGATTAAAGAATTTCATAATAAAAAGAAAGATAGTTGAATCAAACAAAGACAAAAAGATTGCGTTATTTTAAAACAACCGGACTCACCGTTTGCTGTTGTCCTTATATGTCAATGGCTTCTTCAAATTATGTTTCTCGATGATATTAAGTAAATAATAAATCGATTTCCCTTGTACGCAAGACACACGAAGTCGGTTATTTTAAAGTTAGTGTATTCGGTTCATAATAATATAAAATTCTAACGAACGTTATGCCGCGACAACGCTCGGAGACAAACTGAATGAGGGCCCAGCCGCTATCCTCTTTTTTATGCAACTGTTGTAAACTGGTATGCGCCTTCAAAGCACGCACACCGGTGTCAACAGAGACCGAGGAAAATGAAAACAACCTTTTAGTAGATTCACGCTATGTTCGCAGTTACAACGTTGGTACATTTGATAGCATCTCATAAAATTAATAACGCTAATGGTGAGTTAACGGTACACGTATTATCGGTAACAGCATCATGTATTGGGAATGCCGTTTTGGATAAAGCAAAACTCGGATAAAATTAAATATTAAATACGGAAGTTTATTCCGCAATGATAACCTTTTTGGCTTCTTCATTTTTGACATCATACTATAAGTTTAATACTTAAGGTTACATTACTTAATAGCTGTCGCCAGCGACCACATCTGCGCGGTACATGTACATACAACATAAAAAAAATATTATAATAAAGTTGAAATTGACTCTACATTTATTTAGAAAACGTTTATTTGGAAAAAAGAAAAGGTCGGTTTTTACGGTTTTCCCGGCAATTATTCGAACTTTTCTCACCTTTTAAACCTTTCTTAGAGCTCCACGAACCAACTTCAACTTCAAGACCAAGATAAGATAAATCCGTTCATCCGTTCTCAAGTTTTAGCGAGACTAACGAACAGCAATTGACTTTTATATGTATAGATTTATTTAATTTGTTAAGTTTTACCAAGGCACAAACGGATAACCACCATCCACACCTACTTTTATTTACGAAAACACACTTCAGTGAAAACCCACGATAATATAGAACGTCAAATTATTTCTACGAAGCAATGAAAACACAGAAGTTATAAATAAATTGTTAAACTTGAAATAATAACTAGAGGGAAGCAAATAAGGAAAAAAGAATGAATTTAAAAAATTGAAGTGTGAATTTTAAGAATTCGGAAAATTTTCTTATATGAACATTATTTACGTAGCATTAAAACAGAAAGAAATTAAATAGTAAAATAATTTTAACACATGACTAATGTAGTATTTCCACAGATTTTTTTTATCTACTCTAGATAAATTGTTGAAAATTACACCAATATCTATAAATCACAGCCGCAGAACCATAAATTAAAAAGGTATTTTACTGTGGAAAAAATAACTGTGATTATGGAGGTAAATATGTGCGAGTTATTTACAGTCCGGTTATCTTTGAACAGTAGTATATAAATACATTTGCTGTAAATATAAATTTATAATTTTACACGTACTCTAACCATGATAATACTTTGACATCGTCGTGATTAAGGTAAGATAGTTTTTAATTTAAGACGAAAACCCTTGCTTCACATGAACTCCCGGTAAATATGACGAGTATTAACATAATTTTATGTTAACTTATTTACTAAATACTTTTGTTCCTTCGTTCCTTCTGTATTGTCAAATCCAGTCAATCTATGATACTTTATAACTTGTTTTATTCATGTAATTCAATTAACAACAAAAAATGTGATCCATTCACGAGGAGTCCAATTCAGCAACTCCCACAATAGTAATTTCCCTATTTCGCAAATGCCCCTTTTGTGACATGCCCATTGGTTAACAACGGACTGTAATCGCTCATTATCAATTGTTACGGTTCCTGATATTATACAATTAAATGAATAACAGCCTACTTAACGAATGATGATTTTGGAAAGTTGTTAACACTCTCTTTCCGTTCCCTGTACTCTGATGTATTTGTATTTACATCATAACAACTAACAATAGTACTAATAGCGATATTAACTACATTTCAGCATTTTAAGTTTAAAAATATCCTACGTTCGTTGGCCATGCATGCATACCTTGCATCATTTCTTCTTTTTTTCGTTAAAGATATTTATTGCTAGCTATCGTCCGCGACTTCGTCCGCACGTAATTAAAAAAAAACTTTAAAAGTAGCCTATGTGTTCTTCTAGGTAATGTTGTACATCTATGACATTTATAATATTAGTAAGATTAGTGAGAATAAGATTACATTAAACTTGAAAAAAGTTAAGGTTGAGGTAAAATGGCAAGGCAAGTTTCAAACCAACCTGAATTTAATGCGGTATTTACGCTAATCAAGGGAAAATTGTATGACCAAGCAACAGAATAAACCAGCTTGTAGCAACAAGTACTAATAAAATTGCAACTCAATCTATGTGCCCATGAGTTCTTAATGTAAGTTGGTTTAGAATTTTATAATGTACATGTTATTCCGATCTAATCACACTAATCTTACTTCTTACTAATATAATAAATGCGAATGTTTGGATGGATGGATAGATGTTTGAAGGTATCTCCAGAACGGTTGAACGGATCTCGATGAAATTTGGTACACATATAGAACGTAGTCTGGAAGAACACATAGGCTATTTATAATGTTTCATTAATTTCGCGAGATCGGAGCCGCGGGCCACAGCTAGTATGAAATAAATAACGCTTGTTTATTTAGTAGCTGAAACGATATAAGTTTAAAAATAGTGTATGTTTTGTTTCTACAAAAAAAAAATTGTGAAATAGTTATATAGATTTGATAAAGTGGAACAGATCATCATTTATTTTTTTACGTTTGCAATTCTAAGCTATCATAGAATAGCTTTTCAATTACGTAGGTATTGATATTGCGGTCCAAATATAAAACTTTCTATGATAGTCCACTTGAAGTCTTCGATCGTTCTACTTTATTGAAGATCACCTTATGATTATTTGACAGGCGCTAACCTAGAAAAAGTTAAATAACATACTTTTTTTATTTAAACGTTTTGAGGTACTTATAAATAAAAATTATAATAGTGATAGATCAGTGACTGGTTTATATCGATTTTTTGTTTTGGGAAACGCTAGCAAAAGACGTAGACGTAGACAACTGCAATAAACCTTACTTGTGTACAAACCTAGTAACCATGTTTTTTTTTTAATAAAATTAATTTACTAATTATTTGTTTCGATATTAAATTATTTCTTACCGTCGTTACAAACAATTTAGGCTTGTATTTCTATACTATAGTCCAATGGAGATATTAAAAGCCACGACAACAGTTCGTTGGTCCGTACTCTTAGCCATATAAAAAATTCTCTTGTCACTGTTAGTTACCATACTCCTCAGAAACGTCTGGACGTAGGGTTTTTTTTTTAAATATTAGCAGATTTTTCTAGATTCCAACTAAGCTCTTTGCTTGTGCTAGGATATGGTTTACGACAATAGTCGAATGGCAGGATTCGAACCTCCGACCTCGTGATCGGGAATCCGCACCCTTAACCTTTTAATTTTATTAGGCTATTGGCGCTTCTTCTTGAGAATCTGCTACTACATATTTATTAATCCCGCGCGAATGAAGTCGACGGCAACAGCTAGTTATATTTATTTAGAGCAAAGAATAATAAAACACCAAAATAACACAACATAATTTATTCTTCGGACATAAAATCTATTCAAAATGAGTTATTATGTAATTTATATTAATATAATGAACATCAAAAAAAATTAACGCTATCTCATAGCGATATGTACTATGTTTATATAAAACTAAAAGCACCGTAAACACAATTTATTAAAGTATTATTATGCTCTTCAGAATTATGCCCAATTTCTTCTGTACTTGTACGGAATGTCCGAATAATTGACACATCTTTAATATGAGGGATGCACTTTACTGTCATTTTAAAAATCGATTTTAAAATCGATTCTTAACGAATAAGAATCGAATACTCATATTAAATTAACAAATAAAAAAAACTTAAAGCTATAACTAACAAAGTATACAAAACATGTGTATATAATAAAAGTAAGATTTTATAGAAACAAAATTGTTTATAGCTAAAAATATCAAAGTCGAAATTGTAGTCAATTGAAATAGTAATTCGTGCATCCCTATTTTATATCAAATAAGTCAGTCGCATTCAATCGATCGAAAACCTTAAAATATGAATTATTATGTCTGAATTTCAGATGTTTTCAAATGTTCTTCATTAAAGTGTTTTCTACTTAGATAGTTTGCCCACCTCGTACAAATATGCCGCAAACAACTTGATCTGAAACAATAAAAATTGCATGAAATACGAAAAAAAAATGGAATTATCAACTTATCTAGCTAAACTAGCTGTCACAGAATTAAAAAAAAAACTAATAATTATTCTATATGTTCTTAAAAACTATATTGCTGCCATATTTCATCAAGAACCATTGTGTCATTTAGTAGATACCTTCTAACAAACATCCATCCATCCATCCATTCATCCATCCATCTATACTTTCACATTTAAAATATTAGTAAGATTTATTATTTCTTGTAAATTGAACCCAGAACCGAATTTAGAATATTGTCGCTTAGAAATGTTTCAATTGAAAAATTAATAAATAAATATTTGTTAACATTTCTCGATAGCTTCATATGCTATCAGCTGCTCAGTATAAATAAACAAATACATAAATATAGTTATCATCAGATAGAAATATTCCATTTAACAAGCTGTGGTTGATTCACCGCAAACAGGACACTTGTTATCTCTTAAACTCCAGTGAATCATATAAAACATTATATGGTTTGGCTGATATCTGTTTAAAAACAACTCGAATCAATAAGTGTTCTTATAGCCACGCTTACGGTGAGTTTCTAAGACCAAAATCTGTGTATAAAACATCTCGTCATCCCTGTATTTTATCTTTAACAAAATAGAAATAACAATATGTTTTAAGCGGGGATTTTGGTATCAGAAACCCACGGTTAGTACATTAGAATTTATTTCATAAGAGTTTGTAATGATATTAAACTCACTCCTTCGATGTAATTGCGCACGTTGAGCTTCTCGTTCTGTGAGTGCGCCATATCGTCGCCTGCGCCCATCGGCAGCAGCAGCACGTTGCGTCCGCTCGCCTCCTGCAGCGTTATCGTCACCGGGATGGACCCGCCCTCGCGCGACATGTCCGGCTCAGTCTAAACAATAACAACATATAGAAAAATCTTCTGATGGTTCTGCCGCAACACAACAGACAAGGAATATCGACTCGTGCGATGAAAAGAGTTATATTTCTTGTGAGATAACTTATCATTTAACTTTATGGGTGAAAATATGTTTCAATATATGCGTCAAACAATTCGTACTGGGTTGTAGGTGACTAAGGCCTAATCGCCCTTAACCTTGGTTAGATTCGAGCCCTACAATAAGGAGGTTTATCAGCTAAGAACACATTAACCACATAGAATCCCACTAAACTTATTTATGATAGGAGCCAATGTACACAATCACTTCAAAAGATATACATCACATTATCCTAAATGATCAAATGTGTATTCCCGTGAGTTCGCAATGCGGAAACATTGGCATAAAACATACCTGATAGATGAGTTTAGTGGCTCTAGCGGCAGCCTGGTAGTGTGGATGGTCAGGGTTCTCTGTCCATGCGCGGCCGCTCTGCGCGCTGATACGCATCTTGTTCGGTGAACCGCGCTCCGCCCACTGTAATTTCATTATTTACTTGTACAAAAGTTGAACGAAAACTATCGACCTTTATAAATGTACAGGCTATAAGACATATTTTTTGTGCCTATTTGATTTTTATGAGAAATCGAACTAAAAATAGAGATATGTTATCAAATAACTTGATCCTCATGACATAAGAAAAATTATATCGCAATATCAAAGTTTACCTTTTTGTTGACATAGTCAAAGACTAATTTCTCTACTTCCTCTGGTTCTTGATTAGGGACGATACGTATAGAGAATTTTCCGATCACCTTGCCGGGAATTACAGTCTTCGCTCCCGGCTGGAAGGCGGCCCCTGCAGAATTACAACACATGTTACATTCAATCTTCATTTCTGTTTACAAATACATACACAAAAACATATACAAAATAACTAAAAAAATTAAATAGAGTAAATAGCAAGCATGTAAGGAATTTGATGTTCACTAAATTTGGGAATTAATTACAAAGGAAGAAACATATTTAATAAAATATTTATTTACATCAAATAATATCATGTTTCCATAATTTACGGAATGAGAAACAGAGACAGTTATTTTATAATTTCCCTAATATAATATACATACCCTCAATTCCATGTAACGAGAGACTGGGATATCTCCAACGGTGCATCAGTACTTGCTCTTTGACCCCGTTGTGTAGCAATTTGTGGGCGTTTATTGTGCGCCTATAAATGTATACACAGCTCAAACAATATGACCTTTACTCAACTTATATTAAACGAATATCATTTATTTTTATTGTTGAAGTGTGTCTGATAGTTAAGAGTAAAACCGGCTATAAAAACATCCAAGGGGCTGCCACTATTCAGTCGTAATAACCGATAAACCAATATTCTATATGAATGATCTTCGCTTTTATTATATTGTTTATACAACAGATATTGTGTTCGGGTGGATAGGTGATCATAACCTATATATCATACTAACCGATGTCGTACTAAGCTGTTTTTACTGTAATTCATAAATATTTGTAATAGTATGGGAAAGACTACCAATGCCTTGTGCGGATACAATCTATTTTATATATAAAAAACCTTACTATGTACATTGTTAATTGCTAGCACTGTCTAATCTTGTAAGTTAAAAGGCGTGAAGTTATACAGTGCGCATAGAAACCGTTATCGATTTGAATTGATTATTTCATCGGATAGCAAATATTGACACAACAATGTAGTTAATAAAAGCAACTTCTGATTGCCACAACGCAAACTTGATAAGACACAAATTACATGATAAAATTACAAGTAGAAACACATCATGTTCGCATATTTAAAAATCTATATTAAAGAATTTTCAATTTTTTTTTTCTTTTCAATGCCTCATTTACATTATGCCAGTATAATAGGACTATAGCACTAAAAATCTACACTTGCATACAACTGGCATTATGTAAACGCTAACTGGCGTCAGTGATACTGTCCTACTGTACTGGCATATTGTAAACATCATAACATAGCCAAAAAGAGTATTTTTCAGTTGTTATGTCAGATAATGATAAGTAGTTGTAATTAAATGATTGCTAAATTCCAACAGATATTCTTATCTGCATTATGGATAAAGAGTGTGATATTTATTTATTTTAAATTCCCTATCTACAAATAACAAATTATCTTCTGATAATTTACTAACATTTAAGTCCAATATGAAAAGGTATTCGGTTGAGTTTCGTTCATTTAAAAATATTTAGTTCAAAAGCAACAAAATTCGAATTGAATAGGAGTAAAATGGACATATTAAAAAAATTAATTTTACCGCAATGATTATAAAACATAATTAATATCAATATCTATTATGCCATTATGAACTTTAACAATAGATTGACCTTGAAAGAACATTGGTAATTAGAAAAAACAAATACATAATATTGTTTATGTGTATTCAATAATTCAACCAATGCAATGAAGAGTTACATATAATATATAACAGTTATATATAGTTAGATATGTCATTAGATATCTTCAGAGATGTAACTCTTTTCTTGAGATAGGATGAAATGTGTTTTATTCACACTTATTTGTGTATATTATAGACATTACAACAGGATCTTAGTGTATCTCTTACCTGTATGCTTCAGTATCAAAATCAATACTAGAGTAAAGTTTCTTCTCATTCTCAGTCATCGGAGCCACAGACTTGTAAATATCAGTTATAAGAATCTTGCCGTCTTTATCAACTAATTCATTCATGAGATAAATAAGATCAGTCATTGCTAGAAACAAAAAAAAATGTTTTAAAAAAAGTTTTTACTGAATATTAAAAAAAAAATTTAAATCCGAGTGTAGAACCACCCCCACATATTATATTTTTTTAAGTATATATCACATACTTGTGTATTAATTATATAGTTTTTTAATAATTACCTTCATGCACTGTTCCTCCATATACACCACTGTGAAGGTCATTCTTGGCACACTCTACCTCCAAGAAATAGTAACTGATTCCTCTCAGGCCATATGTAATGCAAGGCTTGGTTGTCCCTAACCAATAGTTATCAGAGATGCATACATAATCAACATCATCAAAGAATCCTTCTGGTTTAAGCTTGTCCATAAGCAACTCATCTAAACCTTCCGAGCCAGACTCTTCCATGCATTCAAAAACGAATTTCAAATTTACTGGTAGCTACAAAAAAGATTAAAACTCAAATATCACATATTATCAACATTAGTAGACCTATGAATACTAGAATAAACATTTTAATACATAAATACATCTATTACACTGTACAAGTGGTTTGCCTAGTTACAAAACCTTGGTCCTGATCCTAAGATTACCATACAATCAACTAACATCTTACATCTATGTAGCACATATATTAATTTATACTATGTTATGAAGAGACTCCAAGGTTTTGGGTATGTTTACTATAAAGTTTGATTTTTTTGTATATGTAGTTTAGAAAAGTTATATGAAAAACAACACAGACCTATTTCAAAGTATTGTAAAAAGACACATTATGTTTCAAACATTGCATGGGTTGTGTACTCAATCTATTTAGATAAGACTCAGCTTATTTGGTTTGAACATATTGCAATATCTATTACACATCTCAAGTTTCAAAACAATATTACTTTGTTACCTCTTCTCCAACACCTTTGTAAGCGTTAATAGCATGAAGCCAGCCAAGTACTGGGCCTTTGTCATCAGTTGAACCACGGCCGAATAACTTGCCATCGCGCTCTTGCAGTTCAAATGGTTCTGAATCCCAGCCATCAGATTTCAATGCAGGTTGCACATCCAAGTGTCCATATACACAAATAGTATTTTTCTTTGGGTCCTAAAATATTATTCATGCTAAATTTATTTCTACATAATTATATATCTACCGAAATGCACCAGATCTTACGGAGAAGCGCGCTCTTTAATTAAAACCAGCAATAAAATATTAGGCAATTAGGAATAATTCCACTGACACGTTACGCGGCAAAGTTTTTGTAAGACCGTAATAATGAAAAGTACTTACATTTCCTAATGTACCAACTAATACTGGTGGTAATGCTACATCTGTGCCATCTATTTTTTGGAAACCTACATCCCGAAGTTCCGTAGACGCTCCGACTTCTTTTAACTTTTCTTGCATCCAGTTAACCATACGTACACAATCATTTCTATACTTTACATCACAAGAAACTGAAGGAATTGCAACTGCTTCTTTAAGAAGTTGCTTGTAAGAATCGGCATTCTGGTCGACAAATTTGAAAATTTGTGGCAATGTTTTATTTGCCATAATTTTAGGAACTTGCTTGGCAGTAGTTGAATAAAATAAAGAAAAATCAACCGGTCGAAATACACAAGCGTTTAACGGACGACTATTTCTCAGCAAACTGGCTCGACAAACTGAATTAATCAACATTTTTGCACGATTTTCTTGGTTGGCGTTGCAGCCAGTGATGTTCTTATTCGGTTATTTTTAATCGATTTCACGATTTATTGTATAAATTAACCTCTAAGATCATAAAAGGTCGTTTGTTATGCAATATTTTCAACACTTCATGCCCAAACAATTCTGTGGCATAAAATTCGGATTCTTGCGCACAATACTTACCAATATATCACAATATAGAATATTAAATAAATTAAGTGGTGAATATTATCTTAACAAGATATTTCTATAATACAATACAAAATATATCGGACTTCAAAGGCAAATAGATTTTCATAGAATAAAATCGGTTTTAGTCTGAAATCGAATCGGTAAGAAAAGTTACACTACAGACATCACTATTCAGGTGTCAAAAGATAAAGAAAACTTTTGATAAGAGGGGGAGGGAGGGTAAGTAGGGCTGCCGATTTAGAATATGTGTAAAACCTACTTAAACATAGATGATAAAAAAATGTAATGACAGCTATGGTACAAGGAGGATCTTGTGATATTTTTAATGTTGACAGGGGGCGCTAGTGAGCGGTCAAAATTTAGTTTGACTTATGCCCACCAATTCATCAGGTAGCCTTGTCGGTCTCTATACGACCAACTTCTGGATCATTTCTGAGCTGATCTACATCCATCTATTTCTGCCTCAATATGCTGGGGCAAAAGTTCACTTTATTATTCTAGTCTTTAGTTTTCACAACTGCTTCAAATTTAGAACTATAATGCAGTGTTTACATATGCCTACTTCCCCTTTCTTTGTTCAATATGAAGAACAAAACTTATTTTTACATGCGATATTATTTGAATAAATTAAATTTGCATAACTAATTAGTATTATTAATAAGGGCCCATAATTAAAACAACATAAATAAAGCTGTATTTTTATTAAAAGATGAGTGTCGTATAGTTGATTGTGAACATAATTTAATCATTAACTACTTTAAATTAGAAACGCTTATCAGTTATTTATTTTTCTATGCAGCAGCTAATTCCTTACTAACAAATCATTACAAAATCACCAATAATTTAATTTAAGAAAGCAAAACAGACATTAAAAAGCAAAATGATAATCAGTCATTCATAGCATTTTATTAAAAGTTTTTTTTTATTATAAACATTAAAATATCGAACGAAGAAAATTAGTCAGTCCAAAATATTTAAATTGTCTAATTGCATAAATATTTAACTAAAACGGATGTTTGATGAAACGATAATAATTTACACCATTATTTAAAGTTAGGAAAAGGAAAAAAACCTTATATATAATATACTTAATATAATATACGATGATCTTAACAATTTACAGTTCGAAGTATCCTGAAACAAAAAATAAAATGTTACCAAATTACTGTTCTTCTAGATTTGTGTGACACAGAGATAAGTTTAATTTATGATTAACTAGGGGGCCTGATAGGGAAGTACACATATTGTGCATGCCTTTTTACACTTACTACGACCAGTAACGCTTCTGTGATTTTTATAATTATAAATCATAAATAAACGTAGTCTTCCACTTACCCTGAAGCTGCATCATTGGCAATAGAGTCTGCAGGTTGTTTGAAGAGTAGATCTGCATGTTTAGAGAGCCAGTATGTGAGGAGTGCGGCTGCGAGCGTGGCGGCGGCTCCGGCGAGCGCGGCCGCACGCGCCCCGCCCCCGCTTCCGCTCACGAACACGCGCGCCCACATCGCCGCCCACACTGACTCCGTCCACGTTGAATACATGCCCGATGACATATCGTAATCTGATAACAACAATTATACTTTTAATTGTTTTAGCTGTAAACCTATAATTATCACTTATTATAGTAAATTGCCTGGAATAATAATACTGGTGGAAATACGAAGAAAAAATACATATACATATGTAGGACTCGTGATTAATGTTTGAGAAGCTAAATTAAAACTGTAATTGACTTGATATTTCAATTTGCAAGCAATTTCTTTATGTTCCTTTTCTTACACTGCGTGAACCGTAGATAAAGTAACATAAAATATTTTTGAATTTAGTCACCGTTAACTTACCTTGTAATAAGAATGCTGGGCTAACTGCCTGCGTGAAGTTCATCGTGGTCTGCATACACACGCCGGTGTGGTTCCAACCGCGCAGCCAGTAATACGAGAAGCCCTTGAACAAAACATTTTTTAAGGTTAATATACTAAAATATCTTCCCAAAAAAAAAATATGGAGATTTTATTTTGTTGTCGCCATTTAAGAACGTGTAATGGCTATTTTATTAGGTAAACTAATTCTGACAAGAATCATATCCTTGTCTGCTTGCTGCAAGTATTTTTGATAAGTTTAATGGTCACTCTATTTTGTCTTAACTCTTGCCTACTTTGACTCCTATATAACGGACTGGCTATACGACATAGTATTTTGTGCCGATTTGAATTTCACCATTTTGGTCCCGATGGTTGCGGTTTGTAGCTGTGGTGTGAATTAGAACAATTATTATAGATAGAATAACTATCATGTAATATCAAGAGGAGTGTTCAAATTGGAATGACGCAAAATCTGTAATTTCCAAGCAATCTATCCATTTTTTATATCAGTGCCTAAGTGGTGGGAGGTCTGTAGTCACCGGCTTGTTGAGAGCATCACATCCGGTCTTGTTGAGAGGCAGGTGCGTGCCTGCGAGCAGTGCCAGCAGATGTCCTGCGAAGATGGCGGGCGTGTTGGACTGCGCGGCCACGCCCACGTACAGCGGCGCCGCGCTCGCGACAGGCACCTCCACCGTGCTCGTCGCGTAGTCCGCCGCCAGCAGCAGCCGGCATGCCTGGCTTCTTAGGAAGCAGTACAGCATCTCGTCTGCCTGTGTACATATATAGAACTATTATACTCTAGGTCTTTATGGAGAAGGAATAACATCGTCACCTGCACATATCTGCGAAGAAATTCAAAGATATGTGTGAACCAACTGGGTCAGCATGGTTGACTATGGTTTAGTCACCTCTGTTTTAGGGTAGGCTCCGAAGCCCTCAGTGGGGACGTATATTGACATATGTATCGAATTGTATAAACTATATAATTTTTTTATTTAGTTATTTTACTAATACTTCTTGTACCGTTCCAAATAAGATCTCGTATTGTGCTAGAATATGGCTTATAACAGTAAAATGGGATTCGAAGCCTCGATCATGTGATCCGGACCCTTGATTATTAGGATATTGGTGGTTCAAATTAATTGAATGGTTTGTATTTTATACCAAATGTGCGGAGGCATCGACATCGTCCGCGTATGGCTTGCCCCCGACGCGCTGGTAGAGCGTGAGGGCGAGCGCGGTCGCCAGCCGCGATATCTTCACCTGCACGTCCCACTCCCGCATTGTTCCGTTCGCCAACAGAGCGCTTGTTGGGACGACTACATTACAAACATATCAAAGATTAACCTTTGCTTTCTGAGAACAAAAATATCGTATCTCGTATATCTTTGGTAATGAGAACTCCTAGTAAAAACACTCACATTCTCCGTCAGGTCCTACACTGATGTTACGGTACACGAAGCCAATATTGTCTGCATCATCAAAAACGGACTCGTAGTAAGCGTTTGTAAACGTATCTTTATAATCGACAAGTAACACTTCGGGGAATTCCCCGCTTTCTGTCTCATTCTTTAATATCCTCCGGAACGAGTGCAAGGAGGACGGCGGTATATTTTTTGTGAACACAGGTAACAATGTCATGTTGAACTGTTTTGCGTTCGTTAGCATTTCATTGAGGAATTCTGTAACCTGAAAAAAGAGATAAATACTTATACAGTATCGTAAAATAATTCTAGTCTTTTTATAGCATAAGATGTTAAAGCAAAAAAGGCCACCGAAATTCGACAAAATAGCGAAGTAACCGCTGTCCATAGACGTCCTGATTTACAGCGTTGCCTATCTTTTACACACCTACACCTACAAAGAGGATATTTTCCTAATGCAACATCTTCCTGCTACTTCACTTTCTCTTCCCATCCTTTGTTCACGTCAACTGTATAGATTTGAACCTCTAAGACACTGAATGGCGAAGTCGCTTAAAGTAGACTAAATCCTCCAGTTTTCGAAGATTTATGTTGCCTTGTGTACGGAGGGCCTAAGACTGAATAACCCGTCTTTCACACCTAAGAACGTAGGTGTAAAAAGGATACTTACCGGTGTATAACTGTCAGCAGCATAGGCGTAGAGCGGCCACGATGCGTTCTCACTGTAAAGATTGAGAGAGCCACCGATTTGACCCAATTCAACGTGCAGCTTCACGTCAGAGGAGTCCATTGGCGCGAACGTTGGCCATGCACCGAACTTCATTTCGTATGCAACGCGTTGCGAACCGATGTAGTCGTACGACTCGCCGTTAAACAGATTCCAAACTACGTTACTGTCTGTAATTAATAATTTAAAAAATAAACTATTTTCTACTAAAAAAAAAGCTTTGCATTTGAAGCTAGAAACAAAAAAAAAAATTGACATTGACAGAAAGTTTTCTCAGTAATAAAAAGATTTAAAAAAAATGTTTTTTACCATACAACTGTGAGTCAGAGATGGGCAGCATTTTAGATAATGTTACCGCAGACATGAGCAGTGTTACCATCCCTACCACAGAGCTGGCCGCTCCTGGTGCCAAGCCTATAAAAATTATGAAAAAAAACTTATTTTATATTGATATTGTATAAAATATAAATGGACAAGACAAGCAATCGAGTTGGGTAAGAACAAAAAGAAGCAGTGTTAATATTGACATTCAAAATGAAGCTATATTTTGATATACTTTAAATATTTCATTTAATATTTTGTGACTTACCATCAAACAAAGATGCTGAATCTATCCTAGCGGTAACCAGAGTTATAGGTTTGGTTTTTACTTCTACACCCTGATAAAAAAAAAACAGATTAATCATTATTTATTAATTAACTTATATTACTACAATACTGTATGAAAAAATAAAATAAATACCTTTCCTCTTGGGAAAAGTGAAAAATATACATTTTGATCTCCGAGGGGATCACAAACTTTGGTAGGAGTCAGAAGAGCAGATGTGGTTGATCTGAAAAATGTTCAAATGAAAACATTAAAATTTGTACAAACTAAATCATTTATGTTTAATTGAAACTAACAAAGCAATCAATATATTTAGAGTTAATTTAATCTGTAGGCTTGCTTGCATAATTGACCTACCTTCGTAAGCAAACTTCAGAGTTGACAGCCGCAAACATAAAAGATTTCAGCTGTATAGAGCAGAGAGGTTTGCCATTCTGATTTGCTCTGTCAAGGTTATATCTGAAAAGTAAACAAAGGCCTACTAAGTAAAACATTTTGACTGTCATATAGTCATTTCTTAATTATTTAAACAGTTACTTAACAAAAAGTCTGTCTCTGCCTACCTAACTGGATTATGGGCATAAGTTGTGTTTAATCAGTCCCTGAGTATAGATTTTTTCTTCTAAATATACAACAGTTATTTAGTGGCCATTATTTTAAGTCCCAATTAAACAATATCAAATAAATCATTAATGCTCAAATCAAAAAAATACCTTTGAAAACAATTATTAATTTTGTCTATTTCTTCGATTCTTGTTTGAGGAAGGTAAAATATTGGGAATGGAATATTCCTTCTCAATAGTCCAGTACCCCCCATATTCCAGGACACGCCACTGCTTGCAGGACACTGACTTGCAGGATCAGAAGACACTTCATTTGGACATGTAGATTCTTGACTGAATGTTTTAGGTCTAGAAAAATATTACAATTCACAAATTGATACAGACATATTTCTTGTTTCCTAAGAACCAAGTAATTAAAAAAACCACTAATGAAATATGACTAAATTAGTATGAATAGTTTTAGTCATAATTTACTTAAGTCATTTGTGCTTTTATTTTTTTCTCTAATAAAATAAAATATCTATTGATTGTTGAAAATTAGAAACAGACCCTACCTATATTAGATTACTAGCTAGGAAGAGAAGGAGAGAGTTGTTAAAAGCTAGTTTAGTTAAAAATTAATTAGAAACATAAAAAATCAATTTATTATAATTACCTTGCTGTTCCATTCTGGTAAATTAAAATACCAGCTACATTGTCAGACTTTAACATAAACAAGTCAATAACATCAAGGAACATAGCTGTATTTACAACAGCCATGTACGGCCCGGCTGTTGCATTGTTTACCAGCCATGCTGCATCTGATACATCATCTATCATTTGCACAACTCCTACAGCACCATTCATTGGAGCTGGAAGAAATATCACACTTTTAAATCATTTATTCTAAAATGGTCAAACAGCCTGATACAACCAAAACAAAATCACTACTGCTCATCGACATATGTTAAGTTAAAAGATTACAGATATGTTATGTTGTTGGTTATATATGGATACAAGGGAGAATGTACAAAAAGTATTTTCTATCCCTCGCCAAATCGACGTAGATTATCCAAATGTAAGCTTACATTTACAACCAGCCTGGTGAGTTCCATTTAACCTTTGGAAACATGCTGCGCCACCTTCAATCGATGAATATATTTGTTCATGAAGCCTCTCACATTGCGATACTGAAAATTACATTGTTTATAATAAACTGATCGTATATCTAAATACAAGGAACAGAAGGAAATAACAGGAAGGTTCTTACATCTGATGACTAAAACTACACTTAATAATAAAATTATCTTTTTATATGCCATTACTTTCCGTATTCACGTATGTTTTTAAATGAAACGTAGAAAGTAGCTATCAATATGTTAGTCTTTATGTATTCATTATTAGAGTATTGATTTTGATTATTTATTTAATGTACACAACAAAAAGTTTTTAATTTTTTAACTTTCAACTCAACTGACAGCTGAGCTGACACTGACAGACATGACAGACTGCTTTTTTGATATTTGTTCTGCTTTCTGCCTCTTTGTAAAGGTTTAGAAATTATACTGGTTTTTATTGTGTGGAGCGAAAAATTTGCGTAAATATTGTTAAAAAAATAATTCTGGAGTTAATAAAATAACTCGGGTCGAAAATTTTATTATCATAAATTTTATTTTTTAACTTGCTCAAAAATAGTCATTAAGCACTTAGGCAACATTACTCGTCTTAATGTCGGGCGTCGTCCATTTTTAAAAACTACAGCTGTGCACCCGTGTTTCATTTTATTCATTACGTTTTATACAACACGGAGACGAATCCAAATACAAATCCACACTGATTTTGGTCTTCAAATTAAGGGGACCAACATAATGGCTGAACAGGTGATTGTACAGGTAAGAATGCCACAAAATAAGACAACTTAAAATTTCCATTGTTCAACCTTGTCGGTTGGTCAATATTTTTAAGGACGTTTGATTTTCAACGTGTTATTTTTCAATATAGAAATTTCATTTGGATGTAATTGACATGATATAGTAATCTTTTTATTTAATTTAAATGTTCTTCGTATATTTTTAAAGTAATTTTATAGTACATGATAAATAATAGTCTTTAGAAATAACAATTTGTACATTTGTATTCATTGATGCTACCTGATTCTGGGTGCACGATTCCAAATTTCAAAATTCTGGACTCTTGAGGTCTGCTACTAAAAACTAAATCTGATTTAACAAGGGGTGCTGAGTCCCCTTGCACCCTAGTCCTTGATCCTAGAAACCTAGAATATGTACCTCCATTTTTCCATTTGTTCACATTTTTCAAAACTACCCTTTAATGAATATATGGAGTGTAAGTTTATGTAATGTTTTTGGATAGAAAATAAAGCATATAGAAGATTCAAATTCTATTAAGTACTCATGATAGCCAATCAGTTCAGAGGAAGTAAGAGTTACAAGTCTTTTCTTAGTATTGACGATAAGGAAATAAGTGATGGATTTTTATATCACACTTTCACAAACCCATACTTACTTTGTTTTTAAAAAATATTGGTGTCATTGGGGATCAATTCAATCAAGATCAATATGTTTTAAAACAATGAAAAATATATTTTTTGTTATTTCCACAGCCAGAATCACTGCTCCATCTCGATGACTTATTGCAATGTCCAGTATGTTATGAAATTCCTTCAGGGCAGATATTTCAATGTAATGAGGGCCACCATGTGTGCGGAAGATGTAAAGCACGTCTTGATGTCTGCCCGGTATGTCGGGCTCTTTTCTTTGGCACACGAAACTATGCTATGGAAGAACTTATTGCCAATTTTAAGAAACTAAAAGCATTTGTAAGTATACTAGATTTAGTATTTATTGTTTTACAATTTGAATATTGCTTAAGTTTAGCTTTAAAATTATAAACATCAAAAATGTCTGGTGCATTTACTATTTTACTGAATTCATGTATGTCCGATGTAAAAATTTTGTTGAGTGTACAAATTTAATGTGCGTTTTGCAATTGTTTTAATTATTGTGTTATTATTACTTATCGCTGAGACACATTGTTAAGCTTAGTATAAATCATGTGGCATTTACAATTATTTTATGACAATTTAAATAATGTTACAAAATAAAAATTCAATTTTCAACACTTGGTACAACAACAATTTGACATACTTTGTCTTTTTGTAAAACATAGTATTTTTTTATGCAGGTGTTAGTGAAATCTATTAAAAAAACATTATATTTTTGTCTTGAATAGGGAGGAACATGAAGTTTAAGTATTAAAAACAATATTAATTACAGAAGGTTGGTGGCAAACAAGGTACTAGTTCTGGATCCTCGGAGAGCAGTACACCAGCTCGAGATACCGTGTCAGCAGATACTGAAAATGAAGCAGGTGAAAATAATTCTAACGAACCAAACGTAAGTTTTCAAAGTATTGTATAACTATTGCAATTTACTTTTGATATTTGTTTAAAAGTTAACTTGTTATTTTAGCAAATAACTTTGAGAGTGCCACCAGCCTGCAAGGGCCTCTTTCGTTGCCTCTGTTGCAAAAATGGAAACGCTGAGAAATTGCCCGCTGCGCGTTTACTTAACCACCTGCGTTATTTTCATTCTCCTGATCTTATTGAGGTAAATACAAAGCATAGTTTAAGCAATTGTGACTAATGATGTATGTAATTATGAAAGATGCATATTTAATATAATTTTTTTAGGGTCAATCTGAATTTGGAGAATATATACAAGCTTGGGAATTTAGTACTGGACCGGGCAGAATTGTGACTGCTGTACGAGTTTCAGATATGGGCATCTACTTTTTAGTCATTGACATAGACAGTGAGTATATCATTCACATATACAAAAAGTCTTTTTGCAAGGTTTTAATTTTATGATACTTATGTATTTTTTTTATTTTAGTTAATCGTATTTATGCTTGGTTGACTATGGCAGCCTCACCATCGGTGGCCAATACATTTTCGTATACACTTACCTTATCCGGTAACGACCGTGAAGCCATATTTACAGATTGTGTAAGTTAATTTCAAAATTAAATTGACCAATACTCTTCTATTGCTTTCTGAATTTGACCTTGACTTTGTTTATATTATAGTACATTTTATTGTTTTGTTGAGTTGGTTGTGGTGGTGACTTCTTCAACTTGTGAATCCTAACTTCATTTACCGTCATCATGTACTCCGGCCAGATCTTAAGACCTAAATTTTTATTACCAGGTGTTATCTGTGAGATCTTGTGAAGGTACTCTTAAAAAAAGAGGTCATGCCTTGCTTGTTACCGGTCTGAATGCTATGGCATTGACTTCAAACAGTGCACTGAACGCAAAATTATGTTTGCGTCGCACACCACCGGAACAGTTGGCGCATCAGACCCAACCGCGTGCTGTCATGAGGGTAGCGACGCGCGGCAACAACCGAGAAAATAACACGCAGGACATCTCCGCTTCCGCTGCCAATCACACTCGAGGAGACGTCATACAGGAACTTTACAATGAGACTGTCAACCTAAGCACCCAATTAGCGGCACTTCAGGAACTTGGAAATGAAGAAGACAATGATTATCCACTAGCTTTGGTACAAGCATTTACCGCAATCCGCATGGCAAATCGTGTCGCTGGAGATTTGCGAGATGACAATAATCAAACACATAGTGAAGAAGACACGCCACCGTCTGCTGCGTCGCCTGCGCCTCCCACGCGACCGATGTCACGCAACGCTCGCAGACGACTGAGGCAACGCGTGAGGATGGCTTTGAACGAAGATACGCCTGCGCCGCCGCCCAGCGCGCAGCCGTCATCGCGCTCCCATCTACAGAATGGACACGTTCAAATTGGTATAGTTCCACAGACATCAGCTCCTCACTCGACACAAACGAATTTATCAAACGGACCGTCCACTTCCGAAGCAAACGCTACGAATGCAAACCAAATTCGTAACAAGAAAAAGCGTCGCCACCGCAGATAAAGGCTAAAAATTGATCAGTGATCATTAGTACGTGACATATAAAGTAACGTTTTAGTTTTGGATTCTGGTGTTGCTCATGTAAAATCACTATTTACACGTAAATATTTAGCTATGTCCTAATATAGCGATTTTATTGCTTAGTCGCTGTTGACTTGCTGCTAAAGCATTGACTCCAACAATAAGTTGGGATTTATTTGGCGTAACAGCAATAAGAAAAAAAATTATACAAAATGTGTTTTGATAAATTTAATTACATGTATGTTTTGTTGTGGGACAGCGCTGAATTGGAAGAATTGAATTTGTTTAAATAGTATAAGTTAGTATATAAGAAAGGACATGATAGCTTTTAAATATAGGACCATGAATATCCCTAGATGTGTAATGCTGCCTTGTAAATAACTAAAATATGTCTCTTGACATTACAAATCTAACTGAGCTGTGATAAACGAACTTGTGCTGCAAGGTAAGAACTACATGTAAAATGTCCTAAAATCTCCCTAGAATAGGTTTCTAGTTATTACGAAGAAGTAACATTTTTATCAGCTCATGTTTGAGTCTGAATAGAGGCCACTCAACAAAGATAGCTACTGCTATCCGCTTTAAATTAAATGTTTTATAAGATAAAATTATCGCAATACAACGAAAATGAGTGAGGATTAGTTAAAAATATACAAACCTTTTTACAATTTTCAACAATACCGTTTATTTTATAATAATGATTTGCATTTTGTTGTTTAATTGTGTATCGCAATTAGTAGTGTGGGAATTACTTGAATTTATTGTTCAAATTAGTTAACATGCACTTGGTTATGTTAGTTTATTGAATAATGCCTGTTACATGTTCTATTGAGAATAATTAAAATATTGGAATTTAATGATGTTTAATTTTTTACCTACGACTCTATCTGAGCGGAATTTAAAAAAACTTAGATGCCTATGTGCTCTTCCTATGTTCTACATATGTTCCAAATTTCATCATGATCCGTTCAGATGCTCTGTCGATACATGATAAAATATATAACATCCACTCATCTAAACTATTGCATTTTTGAAAAAGATGTTACCCTAACAGTTTTTGTATAAGTTACTCAATTAAGTAATTAGGCTGCAGAATGCCGGCTTTATGAAAAACCAAATTTTGATAATAGAGACATCTACGACATTTCAACAGATATCATCCAAGGCAATCGCGCCTTCTCTGATCTGTTAAAAAACATAGATGGCGCTATTATCCTTGAGATATCCAAATAATGGTTAAGAGGTGGCGCTTTTTTCGACAACGATGGACTTAACATAATTTATATTAGTCTCTAGAGGGCAGTACTAGTATAGAATTTTCTAGAAAGACGAAATTTGTTACTAAAATTACAATTTCGTTATCTAATAAAACCACATTCTAAGAATATTTTCCTTCGTATATTATAAAAGCTAATAAAAATGCACTGGATTAAGGCTCATTTATAAAATGAAGAAAGCATGAAATATTTAGAAAAAAAGTGTTTTCCTTATGCCATCTAGAGGCCAGAAGCTATACTAGTAAGATTTCTACACTATTATAAAGTGCTATAATATGCAAGATCTACACAATTTTGAGGTGCACAGTTGTTTTAATAATTATTGCCAATTTTCAAAAACAGTACTTTTTCAAAGTACTTACTCCATATAAGTCTAAATAAAAAAAACGACAGCATGGTAGGGATAGGTCGTTAGCTTTTCCAACTAATTGATTTTGTCGAGGGGTAGACCCCAAGATTGTAGGTGAGTAAAGAAAATTACCAGTAACTCTTATGTAAATGATACGTTGATTTCACTTAATTCAATCAAAAACTGTTGATATGTTGATGAACGGTTGTTCGGCATGTGAGTATATAAAAAATAAAAATACAATATTATATGATGATATCATTTGCAAATTAACCTAAGAAAATCTTTTAAGTTATAGTATAGGTTCGGCGCGTGCTATGCTTTTGGCTGTGGGTATGCATGAGGCTGGCTACTGGCTTCACGCGTACCCTTCGCCACATACAGGAACATTTCTGGAACCTGACACGCTCCGAATCGCAACCTGTCTTCGGCTTGGGGTTTCGGTCTGCGCTCCTCATAAATGTCCCTGTGGCAGTGATGTCGACAAGCTAGGACATCGCGGACTGTCTTGCCAAAAAAGTGCAGGCCGCTTCTCGAGACATGCCGCACTCAACGATATCATACGTCAGTCTCTTGCCACCGTCAACGTGCCAAGTCTACTTGAGCCGCCTGGTGTAGCAAGAGACCTGACGGTATGAGTTTGATTCCATTGAAGATGGGTCGGGTGCTGGTATGGGATGCAACCTGTTCAGACACTATGGCCCCTTCCAATCTACATGGAACCAACAACAGAGCAGGTGCAGCTTGTGAAGCGGCTGAAAATGCAAAAGCATGCAAATACAGGGGTCTAGGCTCCGAATATGATTTTGTCCCATTCGGCGTCGAGACCCTTGGTCCGTGGGGTCCTAGCGCTTTAAGACTTTTTAAGGACATATCAAAAAAAATAATCGACATCACAGGGGACCGAAGAGCTGGCAGCTACCTAGGACAAAGAATTAGTTTAACTGTCCAAAGGGGGAACGCTGCGAGTATCTTCGGGACCTTGCCTAAAGGGACTCCTTTTAATAAAATATTTTAGTAAATTATTCGTTTATTAATATTCTATTTTATATCATAGATTTAAGACTATTCATTAGATTCTTTGTTAATTTATTGTTAAAAATTGCATTAGTTATATTTAAAAATAAATGAATATACAGACTAATATCATATTGAAATACAATATTTCAACTATTTTGCGGCTCGTGATACCCTGAGAGTGCTGCTCAAGTGAGTCCCAAACGGGGCCAACTGCGGATGGAAGAAAGCTCACGCTGGATACCCCCTTCTCCTACCCAGATATCTGATTGATTCCCGTCTCGTCTCGTAAAGTTACGAACCATCGAACGATTTAGATTGTGCTATATTCCCGTAGCTGAGAATTAGGAAAGCAAAAAATTTAAATAATCTTTTAATTAAATGAAATTTAAAATAACGACTTCAATTTAAGATATTTACAAAATAGAATTTAAAAATAACTGCTCTTATAATCAATATATTGTCAGCAAGGTTACGAAATTAGATAAGTCAACATTGGCATAGTGCTTAATGTAACACATAGTTGTTAGATGGCGTTGTGCTGGAATAGTAAAAGAAATTCCGCTACCAAGCACCAGATGGTTTCAAGCTTTCAATTTCGAATGCTCAAATATATCGTCGATATAAATGTCACATTTGTGTTTTTCGATGTTTTCGTACTTTTTAAATTTCCTTCTATTCGCCTTCAATTTTTTGAATAAGTTAAATAAATTGTATATCCAGTGCTTCGTATAGTTTTTCATTATTAATTGCAGTGAAGACGATTGTGTATATTAATTAATGTATAAAAATAATAGAAAAGTTGTCAACTATTGTTTTCTAACAAAGTTCAAGCTTGTGCATTTAAAAGTTTTGTTTTGAGTATGCAAATAACCATAATGTAAATAATTTTTAGTGGAGTTCTTTAAAAACTTTAGGGTTAAAATTGTGATAACGTAAAGTTTTTCTAGTTTCAGATATAATGACCGAATTCAAAATGTTTGAAATTGACCCTAAACTGTTTATCACTTGTAGACTTTGCTTAGAAAGTACGGGAGCTTACCAAATAGTTCCTTCTGTGCAACAACAAATTAAGTTCTGTTATGAAATTGAGGTATGAAAGTTATTTTTTCATTTAAAAAAATTGTGAATACAACCTAACCATACTTTATTAGATTCTAGCTTGTATAATGAAATATTTGTTGCTTTATTTTTATATTTTCAGGTTGATCCTTTTGACGCACTACCACAGTTAATTTGTAAGGATTGTGAGTCAATATTAAGCACATATTTTAAAGTAAAAACTAATTATGTAGAGAAGCAAAAAAAATTAAGGGAAAGACTACAACTTAAAAATGTAAGTAATAATTCCAAGTATTTATGCTGCTCAATATCTGTCTTGCTTGAGGCATGGTTGCTATGTCTAATCCTGGTTGCAGTTGTACCTTTACTCTAACCTCATCACATATCATTTACTTCTTATTCTTCTAGTCTTCTTGTCAACCATTCACTTTCAAATAAACTTTGTTTCATATCTTGATCATCTTCTTACATTTGAAGATCACCAATTTTTGTATTCTAACTTTTTAGATTAGGGCTAACTAAACATAGTTTCTGATAACTTTGCTTATGATGAACTAAGCAACTGCAACACTTAGGTTCCCCATACAGCTATACACCACAAATTTGTTACATTGTATATACAGATTTAAAGATTTAATTAGCAATAAAGTTTTCTTTTTTATAACCTGCAGTTTAATGTAGCAACTGAAAAAACTTTTTTCTTATTTCCCTGCTGTTGAATGCCATAATTATCAGTCTCTACATTCTGTACATTTCAATGCAATACTTGTTACATTGCTATTTGTTCAATTTTTGGATAGTTTATTTAGGCTGCATTATCCAATCATTTGTATTTATTACAACTAAAAAAGGCATTATCATATTTGGGACATTAATATAAAATGTGTTAAAACTAAAGCCTTTTTTATTTCAGAATCATTCCCCGGGGACAACACACAGTCTAGCAATACAGCAGGAAGATGATAATGTAACTTCGTCTCAAGAGATATCGAGCGAGGGGAATATTGAAAACAGGAAGAGAATTATTAGCTTTCGTAGATCTTTGTCAGAAGCATCAGATAGTAACTGTTCGGAAAAACCAAAAGACAAAAGAAAAAATACCTTGGAATCCACAAAAGAGCCAGATGTTTCTGAACTGGGTTACAAGAAGTGGTTCATATGTAGATTTTGTAACCATCAGTGTAGCAGTAAATCGAAAATTATAAGACACATAAATAAACATTCGTCAATGAAACAAAAGTATATAAATTTGATAAAACGCGACTGTTATGTGAAATTAGAAAAATTGGATAATAAACCAAATATATGTAAATCCAAAAAGTATGTTGTGCATAGTCCTGATAGAATAACTCATTCCGCGCATAACTTTTATTATATTATTATTAAGGCCAAAGAAAACACCCACAATAGATCTGATGGTGAATCAACTCCGGAACTAAAAGATGTTCCTAAATCAGACGATAGCGATGATAATAAAATTCCGATGAGTTGCAAAAATAGACGACGAAAGAATAGAATACTTTCTAATGATACTATTGTTATCGGAAATGACGATTTAGATACTTCTATGTTAGACGATACACAAGAAGCACCAGCAACACCTAATCTTACAGAGATAAGTGGAAATGAATGCATTAAAATTGATGACTCTGACACTGATTCATTCAAAAGCAGCGAGATTTTAACAAACAGTAGTACAACTTCATCCTCATCAGTAAAAAATAATGAGTGTAAAACCATAAATAATATAATATCCCTGTGTTTTAAGAGACATTTAAAAAGATTGGAATCTAACGATACTGATGATGAACCCAATCTTACTACAGAAACACATACAGCCAAATTAGATTCTCAAATTAAACACAAAGTTTTAAGTATAGGCAAAAAGATGATAAATAATTCTGCATTTAGTTGTACTGGTATATTAAGATATTTGGAGCATCAAAATCTTGAAATTGTATGGACTCCTAAAATATCAAATACATCGAATAAAAAGTCCGATTGCGTTAGAATAATGATGAAATTAAAGAATCGTGATGAGAATGATGGCGAGTCTGGGTGGAAAGTTTTAGAGAATCCAAACATAGATGGACAACCTAAAGGTATAGATGATAACGCTATTGAAAACGAGGCAATTCCTAAGACCGTTTATACATGTAATAGTAAGAGCGATCAAAATAACATTGGAAGTATTCAAGATGATAGCACAGAGAATGAAGCCGAAACAGCGGTTAATATCGCTCGGGAAAAAGATAGATTGTTAAAAAAACTTCTAAACGAGAATCCTGTACCGAACCCCAAAAAATTAACAAAAAAAATACATTTGGCTAGTTTGTCTATCAATAAGAAAAAGAGAACGAAAAGCAAAGAAAACAAATCAGTTCCAATTGAAATGCCAATTATTGAAACAGATGATATGGTAATGCCAGTAATAACATCGACTGTATCTTTAGCAACGGTAGGAGACGCTGAAAAAAAGCAACGCAAGCGTAGCGGGATACCAACCGTACCGATTTCACTAATTGCGGAACCGATTAGCAGTTCGAGTACAATACAATCAAAAGACAGGATGAATCCAGAACAAGAACCGGTTGCAAATTTTCCGAGAATAAAAGTGAAACCTGCATCCCAGTTGATGTCAAACCCTGCTTTAAATATGGCAAAACAATATATTTCGCAAACTAACATGTTTACTCAAAGTCAGAATGTAAACATGGCATATCAAAATAATTTTAACGACGTTAATATGAATATGGCACCGATACCTATATTAGACAATGTGACCGGTTATCAAACCAATACTTTCACACGGGCATTATTTGGAGAAAATTCTGTATCAAATATGCCGATGTCATGTGAAAAAAATGCTAGAGAAATTGTTGTAATGCATTCAGTTGATCTGCCAAATACGAGAACAAATAGCCCCTTTGACTATTTAAAAAGACTGTTACAAATTCATAATATTTACTTATTAAGCCCAACTGAAGTGACACCAGATATTATCAGAGATTTTATTTGTCTATTAAAATTCAAGTTAGTTTTTCAGCAAGAAAGTGCATCGCCGGTAGCGCTTTGTTTAGCTCTGTTCAACTTGAGAGAGAAATTTTTTATTAAAGTGAAAGGTATTAACGATTTAGATATTGACATATGTCGGTTATCTCCCAACTGGCAATGGGAAATTCTCAAAGTTTATTCCGGAGAAGTAGTCTCCAAAATGCTGGAAAATGCGGAAAAAATCAGTCCGGAAGTTCTTATGAACACACGCAATTTCGTTTGTTACTTAAAGTCTATTGAATTTAGCAAAACTGCTTAAAACGTGTTAAGTTAGTGTAGATATATTATTTAAGTTTCGTATTTTATATTTATTATACAGATGAAACTGTTTGTGTAATCGTGCATACACGTAAATGTCATCCAGGTACTGTATTTAGTATAGTTTTGATTAAGTTTGTTAAATTAGCATTTTAATTTTATTATCTTGCAATTTAATTGTTAACTTGATAAGACAAAATAAGGGATACAATGTTGGAGTTAAAACGGTTTTGAACATAATGAAATTAAAATTCCTCCGATTTAGGAAATTTTTTTATGATTAATATTAATAGTTGATTCATATTAATCATCAGCTAGACATACTCCATTTGCATCATCATTTTTCCTAATTTAATGCAAAACAATATTAAATAAATTGAATTTTTGTTATGTGGATAAAATTATGTACATTTGATAACACTATTAAAGGTCGGAGAGTGATACCGGCAAATTTAAACTCATTATTGTGATAACTCTAGAATTGTGCCTATATGTTTGCTATCAAAACAATTAATTTGTAAAATTTTTATAAATATATTACATAAAAAATACTGTGATATTTTAATTATCCTTGAATCTTTTCACACGAAAATGTACCTCTTATTGTTGACTTTATATTAAGTAAACTGGTACAGTAAGGTGGTGACAGATTCTAACTTAAGTTGAGGCTAATATGCTGTCAATCAATTTTAGAATACATTTTAAGTGTACCACCTTCATTGAAATACTAAATAATATATTAAAATTATGGGAAAACAATTGATACATAATGTTTGTCAACAATTCATTTATTATAATTATTATTTAAGACCTAATGAACTGACTACGAAAGTATCTTATCAAGGGACCATATATTTATAGAAATAAATAATTACTTATTTTTTTATTGAATGAGTTTTTTTATCACAGTTATCCAAGTGTCCAAATAGAACTAACATCAGCCAGTACTTCCTTAGGACTCGAGTGCTTATGAAACATAAAATATCCTTGAATTTGAGCAGGACTGACTGGTTTCTTTCTTGAAAGGACACTGAAAAAAAAATCGATAAATAAATTATCACAGACAAAATTAAACCGTGCTGAATAAGTTCCAAGCTATGAAAATAATCTGAATGTGACTGTAACAAATATTTTTAAAGCTTTTGGCGCTTGCTCTGCTTCAGACATACAGAAAGCTTGTTATTAGATGCCAAATGAGATTGAATAAAACATAAAGTGTCAAACATAATATTATGGGAAATTTTTAACATCATGGTAAAACTTACTCTTCTGCAAAAGTTTTGGCTGCTACAGCGTCTTTATAAAACCTCAAAAACATAAGTTCAACTTGCTCTTGATCGCAGTAACCGACGTATTCCTTCAAGTCAACTCTACCCGGTCTAACAAGAGCTGGGTCCAATCTAAAAACATAATAAACTGTATAGCAATATATCTTACTAAAACTTAATACATTGAATGCCACCAAAACTCATATACTACAGGTGTACTGGCAGGGTAAATCAGTTAGTCTGAATGTGTTACAAAAACAATTTAGTCAGGTTATATTTGGTTATGTTAGGAGTATTTTACATGTCACGAGCTGTCGCCCGCGACTCCGTACGCGCGAGATTAAAAATAGATGTTTGCCGATCCTCAGACCTACTCAATATGCTCACAAAATTTTATGGGAATCGGTCAAGTCGTTTCGGAGGAGTATGGGAACGAAAATTGTGACGCGAGAATTTTATATATAAGATAAACATATTAATCAATAATTTTTAAATATTAAAGAATCATTGGAAGAAGGAAGACATAGTTTTGAAAACAAATCAATGTTGCAATATTACCTTTCAAGATAGTTTGTGGTCATAAAAACAATTCGCGCTTCTGTGGATGCTACACCGTCTAGGCAGTTGAGGAGGCCGCTGAATGTTACACGGTTCAGCCCTTCGTATGCCGCTTTTTGTGAAGGCGTGTCTTCTCGTGACACAAATGCAGCATCAATATCTTCCAATAATATGATTGATTGTTGAGGCGCAACACTAAAATTGTCGATATATATATATTAAGATTTTTAATACTATATTTTTACTTTAACAATTATTAGTATACTAGTTATTGCATGCGACACTGTCCGCGCTGTATAAAAAAAATGATAGCCTATATGTTCTTCCAGGCTGTGACATGTGACTACATCTATGCTAAATTTCAATGAGATTCATGCAGCCATTTTTGAGTTACTTTCTAACAAGCATCCAAACATTTGCATATTATTTTTATAATAATTTAGACTAAGTACATACATGCAATGGCATGTAAAGGAACTAACTTACCTAAAAATTATCCATTAGTGAATACTTTAAAAACTAACCTAAGTAGATGGTTTAGCCTGTCATCTGTTAGTCCTCTTTCTGATAAGTTGAGAACACATATATTGTATTCTAATTCACCAGCTAATGCCATGATGAATGAAGATTTTCCACATCCAGGAGGACCGTAAAGGAGGTAACCTATTATAATAAATGTTTACATTAAAAAACATTACTACAATATTACTGTGAATTACTATCATAACACAGGTTTACGAACATTGTTGTATTCTCTATTTTACAATTGTTTTTGTATGAATTTAAGAGTAATGGTATTATATTAATTTGCAAAACAGATTTATTAGTATTCCTTAGACTAATTGAAGACTAAAGTTTTCCTTAGTAATATAGATGCAATTATAAATCAATACTAAAAAAACTACCTCTTCTGTATGGGATTCCTCGTTCTGTATACCATTGTGGATTGTCAATGAAATCTAAGCAATCTGTCAATATCTTTTCACCAAGTCCTGCACGAAGTATCACACTACTGAGTGGTCTCCTGCGACGGGGATGACCAAAGGGACGCCATTCTGAACCCAATGCAGTATACATAACTGTCATGCCTTCATGTTGTTTTAATGCCATTGTTCTTGCTGAAATTATCCAGAAAGTACTAATAAAGTTGTTATAATATTTGTAATCAACAAACTCATTAATTTTAATTTGTTTTAATAGTATGATTAAATATTATGTAATTACCTTCCTCAAGTATATTATAATAGACTTGCTTGTCACGTCCAAATGCAGTTAATGTAACAGTTTCAAATGGTATACCCATGTGTAAATCTATTGTTTGTTGTTCCCGGGTCCTATCTACTCTTATCCACGTTCCACCATACCTATAATGTAAAATATTCAGTATGATACAAATTTATTTCATATTCAATTTCGTATTTAAAAATAATAAGCTAAGCAAACCTGAAGAAATGTTGACCAACACTTGGTATAAATTCGTATTTAGTTTTAATCTGTCCTGTATCTTTTTGTAGAAAAGATGTTTCAACACTTAAATGTTGCGTGTGCTTTGCACCTTTTTGTGTGATCCATTGTAATAACCATTGATAAGATTTGTCCCGACATGGCACTTCCAGGGTTATCATGCATTGCCTCCTGAATAATACAACTGATGCCTGTAACCCTTTTCGAAGAACAGCAGCTGCGGCTCCTACGCTGAATAAGCCAAAACCAGCACCAAAATACGGATTTTGAGATAACGACGCTACGTACTCTGTTATAGGCATGGCTATATATAAATGTTAACACATAGGTAGTATTTTCGATAAGATTTATTTCAAAAACAGTCTTTCATAACCTACTGAATTATTTTTATCAGAAATGTCATGTGAAAAACATGTCAATGTGACACTGACTTTAGAAGCAGAGTTGCCATTTTCATAGCATTGATTTAATTAAGAAAAAAATAAATAAAAGAAAAATACAATGGCTCATACTTGGCTACTCCACTTTTTTTTATGGAAATAAAATAAATTGATTTTGGCACAATAATTTAAAATAGGTCTTGGACTCTAAAGTTATGAAGTAAACTCAATCCAGTGTCGAACAAGCGCGATTACATAGTAAGGTGACTTACCTACGTAGGAGGGAGAAAGTACTTGGATTACTGAGATACTTGGAGTACTTGGAGTTCTGAGTGGCCTACGCCCAGTAGGCTTATGCGAACGTTAAGTCTGTCTCAATTTGCGTTAAGACATATGGGTTTGAGCATATGGTCGTAAGTCGTAATCATATCTTAAACGTATCTTCGCCAATGCCTTGCGCCAAAAAACTGATATTTACCTCATTAGAGTTATAACGTGACAGTAGGTATATCTTTCGTAATTACATATTTTTATATGAATGCATTAAAAGTTTGTTCATTAAAATTATGCTGGTTTAAAAAATAGTGTAACGTTATCTCTTAAAATCTCTAATTGGAGGCGATACCCCAAACGTTAAGTACGAAACATTATCGGTGCATCTAATGCCGCCAATAAAACGTTTAATAATCATACAAATAACAGCGCATGCGCCGCTCGCCCGGGTACACTTACCGCTCCCTGTTCCCTGAATGCTTTCATACGGTGCGGGTCACGCGACCCCTATCGTCGACGTCTGACATCGAATCATTTTAATTTATTGTTCAAGTAGGCATTTTATAATGTGTATGTGTTATGCGTGGACCATAGGTACCTACAGAGTACAATGCGTGTGACGTACAATATGTTATTCGAATCATTTCTAGCATTTGTTTTCATACAATAAGACGGTCACACGAAAGAATATAGTCTTGGAAAAAAAATGTTTCGTTATGCCTATTAGAGTAGGTATATACCTATTACATACACTTTTCCAACAGTAAAAACTAATTATGGTGATTAAATTATGCGTAGTTTTTATATAATCGCTAACGTTCCGTTAATTCCGTTTCCCACTAGACTCGAATCTATAATTCGTTCCTTGGCAGTTCCTAATATAGACTATTATTATCTCGGTGGTTAAAAGTTCTGTCTGAATTAGCTTAATCTGTTATAACTTATCAATCTCTAAGGCTATGATACAAGTAATTAAGGCATATCGACTGAAATGTTTAAACTTTTGGTAGTGGTTTCCTTTTATTTGGCAAAGAGTTGGTTAATTGAAGCAACTGTGTCTGACAAGAGGTATACCCATCACCGCGACGTTTCGGAGTACTGTCGACGTCGGGCACTACCTTCTGTGTTCTTAGGCAGGCATGTCTTGAACGCTAATTCGCAAGTTCTCCATTTTTCTAGACTGGAGTTACCGTACAGCTGTTCTATTAGTGTAAGGTGGGTAAGTCAGGAATATATGCGTGTGAACATTTTTTTTAATGTTTGTGTTGTAAAATATTTAAGCACATGCTGTTGTATTTGCGATGCAATCTGTCTTGAAAAATAATCACTGTTTTGATTGTACTGTTTGTATAAATAATTTTAAAGCAACTATTTCTTTAACACAGAGCTGAGTCTGGAAGTAATATAATCCTGGTTGTTCAATACGTATCTGCAAATACATTGTTAAGATCCTGTACGGAAGACAATCATCAGCTAATTGTTTACGAGATAGGTGAAACCTTTGGCGGTTACTGGGGACCTCTGCCGGACTCTATTATGCGACAAGAGATGAAAAACTTCACACAATTTTACACGTTACATACAACGAAACCAACAACTACTGTCGATAGCAGGTTTGCAGTTTTACTCAACAAGCTTAAGAAAATAGGCGAAGGGAGCCTTAAGAGACCTGTCGTTTCTGTTCCATATTATACATAAGCTGAAGATGTAAATTCTTACCTGCTAAAACTATTTTATGCGGTTTGTTTTTAGTTCTGACAGTTACGACGAATACGAAGCGGAGACGACAACTGTGACATCAACGACGACAGAAAGAAAACTTGTTAAAGGCTCGGATTATATTGAAATAGAGTTGCCGTTAGTTAACGTGTCTGGGAATATTCCACTCAATCGACTAGATGATGTAGAGGAGGTTTTAGAGCTTATAAACGATATCACACCGAGGTACTATTATATACCAATTATTCCATTCTTTGGGGGAAGAATGGATAGAAAGTGGTACAGTAGGCAAAAAAAGGCGGGGAATAAAATTCTTAGTTTTTCTTTTTGTTCCATGTATTTGTTTTTCAGAGAATACGAGGAAACACAATATGTACATATGTACAGTCATCTGCATTAATGAGTATGATTTTACCATACTTTGAAACTTGTATAAGACCTCTGTTTCAAAAATACGTATGCACGTATTCGTCGGTAACATATATTCATGGTCGGAAGCATACGGATAAGTGCATACAAATTTCGGAGATTGAAGTCATAAATAAGTTTTTGAAGCTTTAAAAATGAATGCATATTTAAGCAACTGACTGTAAATGGCATTTAAGGCATTCAATTCATAAAGGCTTAGTTAACAGTAGTATTTATAGTCAGTACCGTCTATTGCAGAGAAGGGGCTGATTACGACACGAGTATATTACCATTGCTACAGTTTTCTATGGTAACATCAAAAGATTCAACGCTCAGTGAATTTAACAAAGATAAATTAAAGTTTGCTTCAAAATATTATACTGGATTTTATACTCCTGACCCACGGTATACTACTTAATTGATTTGTAAAAAATGTTTTTAATGTACTTCGGATTGGATTTTGTACATTATGCTAATGTGAATTCTAAGGCAAAAATCTACAAATTAATCTGATTATAAGTAGGTGTAGTTTTATGAAAAAGCAAAGAAAAAAATTCTTTAGGAAAATTATTGTAAAATTCTCCAATTCCTTGCTTCGTTCGACCCTGAAATGATGAATGAATATGGAAGAATAATAACTTTTTAATAAATCTTTTAGCTCAGCTACTTTATTAAATTAAAATGTAAATGTAAATTTTTGTAGACTTAATTACGAAACAATTAACCAAAGGAAACAAAGACTGCCCCACAGATATAATAGTTTTTCAAACAGAAGACTTAATTTTAAAAAAAGGCTACCAACGTTATTTTCAAAAGCTATATCTACAACATATCGTAGGCAGTAAGTTATCCGTACAATATTTTTATTTATAATTAGCGATAAGTATATTTAAGAAAACGAATGAATTGAACCTTCTTACTTAAACTTAATGTTTCTTTTCTTTTTGTAAATACTTGAAATTGATCATGGGTGTAAAATTTTGGGGTTTTGGAAGTGTTCAATGTGGTTGATTATGGTCCACTTTTTAAAGGTTGAAAACACCAGGATGTATTATAAATTGCGTTTAATGTATAATTTGTATTATCCCTAAATTAAATATTTTAAGCACTTATTAATTTTTAGGGTCAATCCTTATATATTTCCAAGAACTGAAGAGGATGAGATTTCATTATATTTTACAAATTCAATGTCATCTCCTCATGAGGCTAGAGAAACAATAAGTAAACCTCAAGAAATTATTGACGATATATTAAAATCTTTAAGTCACACGACTGAATCTTACCAAAGTCAAAATTATCTTATCCAGAGGATGTTAGATTCGCAACAGAATTCTAGTGGTGAGCATATTGTGTGCAACTAAAATTTTCTTTCGGTGACCAAATGCATTCACATATGGTATGAAATTTATAAAATGGACGCAAATAATTATTTTTTAAGTAAACACAATATCTTATTTTTTTACTAAATTCAGGAACAACGAATTTGACAAGGTCAGAAATTCAGGAAACTAAGAATTTAACGATTTTGGACGTAGATTCTTTGTCATTAATTGAAAGTTATATTTTTCGAACGTTTGAAAACGCGAAGTTTTTAAACGAATTCTTAACAATTTTTTATGATTACAATAATTATTATTTACACCCGTATGGTACATTTTACTTCGATAATAACAAAAGTATCTAGATAATATTTTATTACGTTTCCTACGGAACTTTATTGTGTTTCCACCCCTATGATTAAAACACACGTAATAAAAAAGACGCTATAAAATACCAATTACTGGTTTTTTCATACAATTCTAAGATCAAATTATACAAAATCGTTATACATTTACAATTTAATGATAAATATGATCAGGGAAAGCTCTATTGTATTTACTTGTAGATAGGTGCAATTTCTTATTCGCCATGCATTTTATTAATTTATTGATAACTAGCAGTCGCCCGCAATTAAAAAAATCGTTATAGCCTTTTTGTTTTTCCAGGCTATGTTCTACATCTATGCCAAATTACAGCGAGATTCATACAGCCGTTTTGGACATACTTTCAAAGAAACATCCATCTAAATGTTCACATTTATAATATTAGTAAGATATCATAATGTTGTAAGAAATTATTAAATATATAATCATAGCAGTGGGACATCAGACAAAGGCTGTTGATAATATTTGAAAAAAATAATTAAATTGTGATTATTATTTTAGTTTATTTACGTCCATATCATTACGAAATGAATAGTTTAATAACTAATGTAACCAGCAAAGATGTAATAATTAATATTAATCAAACAATAAATAACGTTACAATCAGGTACTTATTGGTGATATATTTTTTCTTAACAATTATTATAAATGTGATAAGAAATTAAATAATTTTCCTGTATCAAGAGGTGTTACAGAATTAAAGAGGCTGTCTCATCAAATTAAAGCGACAGACGCTTACAATGATTCGAGTATTAAGTCTACCGAAATTACTTTTAAAAACAAAACTACGAATTTCTTTACGGATAATCAAACAGGTACTTAACTATTCAGTAGAAGCATAATTTCTCTACGTTAGAGTTATTTATGTACTGTTCATTTCTTTTTTCAGATTCCTATTTTACCAACATTGCGTCGCTAAATGTAAGCGAAGACAAAATAAGCAATAATGTTATTTATACGTACCCGATTGAAGAGTAAGATTCTACATTATCCATTAATATACTATGTTAAATATATGTAGTATAATATTATGGAAAAAAAAACAAATTAATAATTTATGTTAAAGAAACTAAAAAAAATCGAATGTGGTTGTGAGTTTACTTATAGTACATAGTCAATAATATCTTCTTTTTTTAAAGTCCAGAACCGGTGACGCATTCCATGGTAAAGCATGAGTCTTGGGATAATGTAGTGCGTGCTGCCCCTGTCATGGCTGTCCTTCTAAACCAAACTCTACCCCCTGACATTTACGCAAATATTAATAATCAAGACAAAGTTAATGAAACTGTTAAAGTAGGAAAAACGAGAGATATTCAGTAAGTTTTATGGATTAAAAAAAAATTTTTTACAACAAAAACTGTGTTCACAGCTCCAACATCAAAAGATAAGATATAATATATTAAGTAATAAATAAATTTGAATTTATAATTTTATTATATATTAGTCATATTGAAAGAAATTACATTTACTAACTAAATATTCGGTTATATATTATAATAATAATTAATATTGTTAAAAAATAATGTTCATTATAGAATTTCACGTAAAAAGCGTCACATCCAACCTTTAGAAATAAAAAATGCGATTCCTCGTGTTATGACTACGGCTAGAAACTCGTTTACGACAAAGAAAAATGTAGAGGAATTTGTCGATGTCCAAGATATATCACATCTCGTAGAACTGAAAGACGATGAGGTGCGTTATAATATTAACATACTTTACAAAATACGAATAAGAGAGAAAGGAACCGATTGAAATCGCTTGCACGAACATTATGCATACAAATTCTTTGACTTTTGTCTTCTTTTGGAAACAAACAGATTTTCCTATAATTTTTCACTAGTAGACGGAATTATTCATGTCGTTAATCTATATTCAGTAACAAAAATAAACTAATTGTAATACCAAATAGAAAGTTGTAATCTCAAGTACTGCAATATTTACGTTCTTTAGATTTTATTGGACCTATTTGAATATGTTTATAGGAACGTCACATAATTCTTTTTTAATGTGCCATACTTATTAGCTTATTGGCTTGGTGTAATAAAAGTTGTAATTTCAAGATACACGGTCGCGTGGCGCTACGCTATATGAGGAGCTACGTAGGCTCTACGCTGTTTAATATCTGCGACACTCGAGACGCCAAGGCCCGACATGTATATCTCTTCAATACTTCCAGAATTGTCATTGCGATTAGTAATTATACGGTTAGTTCAGATTTATCTTGAAGATAAAACTATGTTTCCTTAGTAATTATAATACTTTGTAAACTTCTACGACATTTGATTATAGGATTATCATCGTTCATTGTTTTACAACAAAGTGATCCTATGAGGGTTCCGTTTTTTTTTCTTGAGAACCTTAAAAAGTAAATATGTATGTTACAGATGAAAAAAATGACATTGGTGATGACTCCGGCGCGTGTGCTAAAAAGCAAGGAGATAAGCTGCCCAGCGGCACACGTCGAGTGCCAGGTGTCTGGTGCCCGCGTCTGCATCGACTCCATGAGCGCCTGCGACGGAGTCCCCAACTGTGGCGCATATGGTGGCTAAGACTATATTTGTCTCCAGCATTAAAAACTTTTTAGCTGCAGATGTTGTAAAACTTGGTTTAACTAGAAGTCACGTATCAATTACTGAGACTTCTCATAACACTCAATTCCCATTGAAATTTTTTGGTCTATGATAACAAGAGAAATAACGAATTAAAGTTCACAGCTTACTTTTATTTAAACTTCAAAAATAAATAAAGTACCCATATGTTTGTACAGATATATACGACGAAGACCGCTTGCTATGCGGCGTGGTGTCCAACTTGTACCACAACGTGTACCTCGCTGCAGGCACCTTTCTTGCCGTCCTCCTCACACTATTGTACACCGTGCACTACTGGCTGAAGCGCTGCGTGCCTGGTGTCTCTGAGGCATTCTTCATCTACACAGATCGATCTGAAAATATGTTAGTTATAATTAGTTTGATCTATATTTGGTCCGTCGGCTTTTCTATGTCATCAGATTCATGAGTTTTATAAGCAATGGTATTGAAATTTAAAAGAGTATGCCTAATAGATGATAAATATTTTCAGTTTAAACCTTGAGACTATTATGCAAAGCCCAAATGAGGACGACTTGGGTTCGAAAATGGTGTACGGGGCCCACTTCTTTTACGACGATACTTTAGACATGTACAATGATAAAACAAAAGAAACCGTATTTAAGAAAATGTGGAGATTCTGTATATCTTGTTGCCCTAAAAGGCATTCAAAAAAGAAAGATATAAAAGATGAAATTTCCTCACATGGTTCAGATACAAACCAACCTCCGGTGAAGCGATTATTTTCCTTCGCAGAATTAGAACTAAGCAAGATCTCACCAAAGATGTATTATGATGCAAATGTTCAAACTGGCGAAAGTTTAGAAATAGATCATCTTCAAACCCATAATCTAGATAACAATCTGGTTTTAAATACTGACAAAAACAAAAAGAATAGAAAAGAAATAGAAGAATTGAACATCTTAAAGTTTTTAAAGGAATCTAAATCTGAGTCAATCCAATCTTTTCCAAAGACAGAAACTTATAAATCTGTAGATAATGATGACAAAAATCTATATTTTAACAATACAATACACGAGAAGAGAGAATTATCCAGCACTGTTTACGAGCCTCATAGTTCCAAGTCACAAAAACACGAACATGTCAAAGTTGTTACTAGATGTGATATACATTCTGATAAGGTTGAACCATCGCTTCTAAAACGTTTACGTTTTGATGAAGAAGCGACCACAATACCATCAACGCATACAGATGAAGAAATTCTAGAAGGAGAAGAACAATCTAGTACTCAAGTCGTACTGGGAACTGAAAAGTTACGGCGTTCAGATGATATAGAGGAACAAGAAAGTGGGTCTGGTAGAGAATTTATGCGTTTCTGGACGAGTGCCAAAGATAAAAAGGCGAAAAAGAGGAAGCGCATAGTATTGCATTGAAGTATAACAGTTTGTGCAGTCATAATTATTATAATGAATATTAAAATATAATAAAACTTGTTTTTTAAAGAACCATTTCTTTTAATTTCCTTTAATCTTTCATCTTTTTCATCTGTTGCTAGTCTTTATTGTCTAATTTATTAAGCTTAAGCATACTACTTAATTACACTGCCAAACAACAGAAAGGGAGGACAATAACATGTTTGTAAACAACTGTATTGATAGTGGGAACTTTTTTATATTACTTTTGTGAAAAATAAAAGAGATGTCATTAACACGCGATGCTACATAGCCGAAGATGACAATGTTCAGTGGCAGTGCGCACCGCTATTTCCTAATTAACATCAATTGAGCGCCGGATAGGACACGTGCCAAAATATGTGTCGTGTCTTTTTAAAGATGTTCCCTCATTGTGTACCGTTCCAATCCTGGTAATTGGCCTTTTGACGTTTCCTGCATGCGATGATACATGCGCAACACTTCGCAACAACAACTGAGTTTATTACGTTTGAAAATATATTTCATTGTAAGAATTAAAAAAACTTTTTCTTAATTAAGTCATATGGCTATTGAAAGAGTAGACTTTATTAAAATAATTCCAAGCTTTACTACTGGACTAAAAAAAAAACAAAGTTTATAATCATAGTCTAACCCACTACAAAGCATCATACAGTTTTTTAAATAATAAATTCATATAACATATGAAATTACGCTAATACGTTAGTAAATACAGTGATTATTTCCTTTTATATTTTTTTTTTATAAATATACATCTGAGTCTTGTCATCTTAGTATGTAGGAAGTTTTATTGGGGTTAAAATTATTTTAAATACATATTATAACTAACGTTTTTATATTAGCTCCAAAAAGATAGATGTAAAAGTGTCATGCTAGAAGCGGGAGCCGGTGCGCGAGGTCATTTCAATTGAAACCAATTAAAGCAATTGAGATCAATTGAGCGGGCGGCAGATTCTGCGTCGACCGCCGCTCGAAGCTCGCCGCTCGCCTCGTACAGAGAGATTTTATGTGAAGCGCCTACGCGCGCGGTCACATGATTCACGACATACCTACTGCAACACTCATTTTGTAATATGTAATCTGAATATCGCGTGTCTTTATCACTAAAAGCGTTAATAAGAGACACATTTAATTTAACTTTCTGCCGCACTTAGAGACATTAAGTGATCACTGAGGGAGTCACTTAGTCTGTACTAAGCGAGTGATAAATCAATCAACTTATGGAAAATCAATGTTTGTTCGTCAATCCGTTATGCGTATCTAAATCTAAAATTCTTGCAATATACTTTGGTTTTAAGTTTTGACATTTTTGTCTATAAGAGTACTTTCTTTGGTATAGCAAAGGACGTTTAGTTACATATTGAATAAAAATACGACACTTGTACATAAATACAGAAGATGCGCCTGAAAATCAAAAGCTTGTTTTTAAAAACGATTCGGTTCCTAACATGGCGGAAGATATCGGTATGCGACGGATACAAAGGGAAAATGTTTATTTATTTATTTATTAGACAAGTACACACAACAGATAAATTATGCAACATTGACCAAAGTAATACATTATACAACACATTAAAACTGATAATTTATCCAATAACAGGTGTACAACATTCATACAAAACAAACAAGTATAAAACACAAAAAAAAAATTGGAACAAACCAAGAAAAGAAAACAAAAAAAATAATAATAATCTTACAATATATTTAGGTCTGTAAATGTTGTATTCATACTTTTGAAAGAAGGGCTAACGAGCCGAGGATCGTTTGAAATTAGTTGATCCGACGCCTATAGCCATCCGCAACACCAGAGGAACCAGAGGGTTAAGAGGTGTACGTTCTGTACATTAGATGCTCGGTCGTGAACATACGAAATAGAACTGACATCCGCTTTTTCTCTTAACTTCTCAGTGAACAGGTAATATGGACTATATTCAACTATGCAATTAATATATTTTACTATATATGTATTAATTGTATATATATAAGGAAGTTTTAGTCTTTACTTATGCTCATAATAACTATTATATGTATAATACTTTCGTAAAATCATTTAAGTTACTATATTTTAATAGTAGTGCAATAGATTACTTATGATTCATTCTATATTTTAACTTAGAGAAACTGATATTGTACTTGCTCCATCCTATTAAACATATACATATATTAACTGTAGCCGATTATATTTGACCGTACCCAATAGACAAATATCAAGTTAAGTAAGTTTTTATTATGATGTTTCTTAGTTTTTTACTTTAAGTAGAATGGTTCTCCCAAGATGACTTGATCTCGACAGCAAATAGTATTTGGGATTCGTATTTTAACTATACATCTACGGTAGTTATTTAATAGGACCAGAAACTCCGGAAATATGTTGACCAAAAAAAGGAATAGAATCTCTACGTAAATATTTAGATTTATTTACTGAATTATTCTAAATTCTGAAAGAGGACTACACGTTATAACATGGAGATCGATTAAAAAACTTACAGTTTGCCTGTAGTGTTATCCGAATAAAAATTTCAGGACACTGCATGAGTCACTTTGCTTTATTCATGTCACTTCCGGGTTCAAGACACACAAGTGCGTCTTGTATTCTTAAACGTTCTCATTGTCACTATAACTTGATATCGACAGCAAGCATCACTATCACAACACTAAAATATATCTCTACATTTTGTAATACGTCATAATAAATCACAAAATACCGCACGACATTTTATACTTCCAGGGTGAAAAGTCTCAACAAGGTGTTTTCGCATGTCCACAAAGTGCAGATGCGTCGAGAAGTGCATCGGCGAGTGCAATTCGTGTTGTCTGAAAGTCACCAATAAGCCCAATGAAGCAGAGATCCCGCTGGCGAGCGCCAGCACCAACCTAAATAGACTCTGATCATCTAAATTGACTTCAATTAAATAACAACCGAAATTGTTGAAATGCGCCATTACTCCCTCGACGCTAATCTAAGTGCCAATAGTCAGGACGAATGCTTTATTAATAATCCCCGGCGATAACTGTTAATTAATAATTAAGGGAACGCCGAGTCGATCGGCGGCATCAGTGCGCCTGCGCCGGCCCGCTGGCACGCCAACGTCTCAGTTGCAGTTGCAACTTTTATACTTTCAGTCCTTTTTGTTTATTTTGATACAAGTGTAATATAATTACAGTATACTTCCTTTGACATAATTTTACCTCGAATCAGACATCCCTTTTTGACTCGACATAATTTCCCACGATTATAAATCACGGGTCGGACATACATACAACTAGTATTGATACGGATTTACATTGAAGCGTTATGGACTTACAAACTAATGATGTGGGTGTTCGCGCCCTACGATATCGGAACAAACAAAATATCGGGTGAGTTTGTGGGAATCCCGCATGGTGCGCAGGCTCTGCGGCTGTCTCAGCCCAAGCCCGCAGCCGCCGCGCGCCCGCTACGCACATCGTCGCCGCCCGGGGGAGTGGCCGCGCCGGCCCGTTATTGGCTCCCCTTGGCCCCGGCGTCACAGTCATAAGCGCCCACCGCACCCGATGCAATGTCTCACGTCTGCCTTCGCGCTACGAACCAAAGTATCATTCATACGAGCGCCGCCATCGAGCTTGAGCGCTGCAATCATTGGCCCGAGTCGTCTGTAGCGCGCCGTATTATGGTAATATAAATTGACCAACCGCGGAGCAAATTCGGTTAGTTCGTTAAAGTTGATTAAAGCCATTTAACCGGGACGGACACGAGGATACGAACGGCGCGAGCGTCGATCCCGAGAGTTCGCTTAAATTAGCTAAATTGTTTAATATCGGTTTGTCGATAACTAAGTCGCGATCCGAGGTCGGGCGGGCGCGGCTAGCGACAGCGGAGCCAGCGGCCAGCACAGCCGCCGAAGAAAAGCGCGCAGCCGCCGCGACGGAGCCGAGCGAGGTGGGCGCGGAGGTAGCGGGCCCGCACCCGCCCGCCGCCGAGGGCTACATGTACGTGTGCGGGGACAGCGCCGGCGGCGCACGCTATGAGTGCGCCTTCGAGCCCACCGGTGGACCCGGCATGGATCAGCCGACCTTCGAGGAGCACATGTTCGGTGACTTCAGCAAGGAGCGCCACGTTCAGGTGGTGGTGGGCGCGAGCGGCGAGTTGCAGTACAGGGACGAGCTGCCGGTATTTGCGGCCAGTAGCGATCAGAAGAGGAAAGAGGAGCCGTTGCTGTTGCAAGCGGTGGACGGGGCGCAGCCGCAGCATTCGGCGCACCCTCCGCCTCACCCCCAGCCTCCGCCCCCGCCGCCGCCGGCCACTAAAAAGAGTGAAAAAAAGAAGGGCGATAATAATGGCATAAAGAAAAAGAAAACAAGGTGAGAATTTTTATTTTCTTTACTGCTTACTGCTTAGTACCCTGCAAAACGAAAGTTTTGAAGGTTATTGTTCAATATGTTTAAGACTTTAATATATAGGTACATACTTACTATCACTTCGATGCCTTTATACCGTTTGATTTGTATTAGATAAATAGAAATAATATACAATAACAAATGTTTTCAAGATATAAACCTTGCTACGTCGTGCTACGAGAAATCATGCGCACTACGAAGAGTAATTTAGGGAACCTTATGTGATGTATCGATATTATTTTTTAAACACTGCCACCGAGATATTTGATTTATGAACTCATCAAATTAAGAAATAGTGTGACTTAATCAATTTTAAGAAAAAAGGAGAAAGTATCTTAACTTAAGGTAGTATATATCATTAAACGGAGCGAAACCAGAAGCATGTAGCATAATGTTACGTCACAAGGTTATTGTTTGCTACTGTCTTCCTCAACAAACTCAGCTATAGTTAATTGTACTATCTTGTTTTCAAATTAATAACCTTAAAGTATAACATTACTAGTCGAATTAAAAAAAAATCTTAATTAGTATCTATGTGCTCTACATCTATGCCAAATTTCACCAACATCCATGCAACCGTTCTGGAGATACCTTCTAACAAACATCCATACAAACAATCGCATTTATAATATTATTAAAATTTTGGCGTACTATATGTTTACTTTTTGGTTTGAATGGTTCTAAATCATCATCAGCTCACTGTACGTCCCCACTAAGAGGCTCGGAGCCTACCCTAACTTACGGGTGACTAGGCCATAGCCACGCTGGCGCAGTGCGGTTTGGTTAAATATGATATTCATTTCAAAAGTGATCGTTTCGCTTCAAATACCGATGCAATATCGTACCCCTCTGTCCGCGAACTGCATAACTAATACGATGAGTATCTAAAGTGATCACGACATATGGCTTTGTTATAACGCTTTATTTTTTATACAAATAATATAGCAAAATTAGTTCTACGTAATAAAAGCATTTTTTTGTTGTTTGTTTAAAAAAATAATTAGTATAACTTGGTCTGGCACTTCGATAATGCTCTGTTTGTTTGCCTCATATGCATTCTTAAAACATTCGACTGATATGATGAAATTTTGGTAAAATATTCATAAGATGTCAGAGATAATTTGTGTAATGGATAAATCTATAAAGTAAAATAACACTATTGGACATTATCTTCATTTTTACTTTAAAATTACTACGTATGTTAGGTTTAGCTATAATGTAAATAAAGTCTCTATAACGTCGATAATGATGTAACGAAATTTTTAACGGTACAAACATAATTTCCGTGTTCACAATAAGAAAAGCACTTGATGCTGGTGTTCTTTATAGTGTCAATAAATAGGCGGCGTCATATTGCGTCAAGTTAATTACCCGTATGTCCGCGGGGAGTCGATTGCCTTATCATCATCTGCGTTCCGTAACGCGAGGGTTCTTATTGCTTATTAAATAACTCTTGCAATGATATTTCTCACATCCCTACACGTTTTACGATGGCAACAATATGAAGTGATAAATTTTATTTTTTTCTTACACGTGTTTAATTTCAAGGGATGTTTTTTTACTAATTTTCCGTGTTTGCGCACAAATCAACTTAACTTGTGGGTTCTTAATATAAGGGCTAAAAAAAGTTTAGACAACTTGGTATGTTTTATGCAACTGTTATAAAATGTTTATAGTTTTGGTAAAATATAAAAACAAATCCCCCTTTTGTATCCTCTTTTCTGTCACCTATTTTATATTGAAACTAAATATTATTAATTTTAAAAATGTACTATATAGAGATAAACTGTAATCTCGAGTAAGAATAATGCAAGGTAAACAACGAATATTTAATAAAGTGCAATAAGTAATGTCAATTGGTAGGCAATTATAAGTGGTGGCGCGCGTCAGGGGTGAATTTAGTTTCACGCTCAATCAATTTCTGCGCGTGCGCTTGCACCCGCAGCAGCCATATTGCACGCGTCAGATGTTTGACGCACGATGCACCGCTGTTACGAATACGATTTACATATCAATGTATCGTGTCCACTTCATTTTAAATTATTATACATTGCATATGTTGTTTACTTTATATTGTCATCATTGGCTATTAATGCTGAAATAGAAAATCTCATGGTCATTAAATGGTCGAAACTCCTAAGTGTCGATTAAATGTATTAAATCCACTCTGAGGAACTTAAGTGATCAATTACTAGTGCTACCACACTAGTAATTAGTTTGCAATATTGATAAGAAAATTATATACGTACTTAAAATAACTGTTACGTAAAAAGTTATGTTGGTTTTGATATTAAATTATATATTAAATTTCTATTTTTAGAACTACGTTTACGGCATACCAGCTTGAAGAACTGGAGCGGGCGTTCGAACGAGCGCCTTACCCGGACGTCTTTGCTAGGGAGGAGCTGGCTCTTAAACTCAACTTATCGGAATCTCGTGTGCAGGTTGGTAGCCTTAATGTTAATGAATATTTATAGAGTTACTTATTTTTAGAAATACAAGTATCTAAATAATTCCTTAAACTCTGTTAATATTTATATTTTATTTTAATTCACATATTTATTACATAACAGGTATGGTTCCAAAACAGAAGAGCAAAATGGCGTAAACGAGAACCGCCAAGAAAAACTGGATACATCGGATCCAGTTCACCAAGTTCAACAACGTTAGGCGGCGGCTTTTCCGGTATTGGTGGTAATTTGCCAGCGTTTCCACAGAACGGTATACCGGCTCCCGCTGATTCATGGTCCTACCAACACACGTACGAGCTTTCTCCGCACCACTTGCTGTCGTCCGGCGGCTCCGGCTATCCAGGGTTCAACTCACAGCCCGCGGCTTATTCTTACACGACCGTACTCAATGGACATGACGGTCAAATGTTCGCTCCGAGACATTACGAGTACGGCGAGGGTAGTCCGCCGCCGCTGGGCGTACGCGACTACCCGATGATAGCGGCCCACTCCCCGCAAATGGACGGTCACGGCCATGACGATAAGCTGGAGTACCGCGCGCATGAGCATGAGGACAAGTACTCAGCGTGTGCGATGCAAGAAGAACCGCCACGTTACGCCCCACCTCCCGAGGACTATGAGAAATGCGGTATGGTGCCCCATGACAAGCACTATGAGATGGACCGGCACGCGGACCTCGCGCCCCCTGTCGTCGTCAAAATGGAACCCAACCCTGGACAAGGTTACACGTCTCTGCCCCCTTTTTTGAACTGAAATACTCCTTTTCGAAATTAACCTAGTGTCGGGAATAATTTCGAAAAGGAGTATTCCATGCTCGAATATTTACGATTAAATAATTATAATATGATTACATAAAATAAGGAAAGCAATATAGTTTAATTGTAACAAACAGAATGATGAAAGTCGTCGAGATGTCTGCAAGTCTTTGTCACTAAAAATTATAGTTTGTGTAAAAGCTCAAAAATGCGCAAGTTATTTAAATTAACTTATGAAAGTTATTAAAACTTAAGTATAATTTAAGAATGGGTCTCGTATCTAAGCATTTTGTAATATAAGTTTTATACACAATTAAACTCACACAATAAATATTACAGATGCATTCAACAAACTCTGTGAAGATGTTAAGCATCGTCTAATTTTCATAACATTTTTTAAGTCTTTACAGTCCAATATCAATGATAGAACATAAGGTTTTATAATTCGCTTTTTAAAGTGTAAATAAATATAGTATATTATTTTTCGTGTATTAAGGGTTATTATATTTGAGTTGTTAGAATTTTACAGTGAACATGAAATGTAGAACATATGTGCATTCCTTGTGCCTTATTAAGAAAAACCTTTTATATATATTAAGAATAGTTTTATTGAGTTTTTAGTAGGTTTGGACCAAAATTATTCTATGTTTAAGTATTTTCTTATCCAAAGGAAATTATAACTTAGTTTTTTTTTACTTTTTGTAAGAATAAATTAGAAATACATGTTATATTTATTTCTCATTATATCATTCCCTACACAATATAAGTTATAAATAATAAATAGGTTACTTCAACTAAAAAAAATCCAAAGATAAAATAAACAAGAACTTGTGGTAATTTTTATATGTCAAATTAATGTAATATTTTTTGTACATTTTTAAGATGTCGAATACCTAACAGTAATTATATTTGTACATAAATTAAAAAAAAACGTGAATATTGTGCCAAGTTAACTGTAATTATGTATAATTCTAGACTACTTTATATCATAAATATTTCCATAAACTTATAATTTTATATTTTTACGTTATGTTTAAGTATTATAAGTTTGTTATACATTTAAAAAAGGAAGCATTTATAAAAATCTATTATATTAGATAATCGATATAAGTTAAGGATATCATTTTAAATAATATAACCTGTCTTGTCTATAATTTAGGGGGGAAAAAATACAAAATTTGTAACAATTTTTTTTATAAAATGCCAATTAAAATTTGAAAAATATTGAAAACCATTTTTTTATCGTAAAGCAATAGTTCGTTTAATAGTAAAACCATTATGCATATGTAATTTTATAAATAAAAGAGTGGTAATATTAAACGCATTTATTTTTAATATCCAAATCTTTATTAACATCTTTATCTAAGTTTTTAATTTAAATCGTTTAAATAAAAAAAGCGTCATATTAAGTTAATATTATTCTAAAATAATTTAATTAGTTAGGTATAATATTATTTCTAGTTGTTTTGTGATTGTTGTTTCAAAGTTTGCGTATCTTTGGCACCTTCTTGATGACTCCAAATGCCGTCGCCACTGAAATGATATCTCTTTTCTATCTCGTAAAGCGCCAAGCTTAATATCTGATCGTCTGTAAGTTGAGCGTAGTTCAGGCTGTTGTAACCTCCGTCCAAATCTATGTCTATGTCATTTGCTTTGATTGTATGATTCCGTTTCTTTAGAAAATATTCCATATATCGTTGCGTTTCCGCCCTACGAATCAAAACGTGTTGTGAGTTAGGTACAGTTACCTTCATTTGAGGTGTTCCAGTTTAAGAAAAATTCACTTTAAATATTGCAACTAAATTAAACTCTTTACATATAAATTCTAATTTATAGCGTATAATAATCTAATTGTTATATTTTCTGACTTTTATTATTTAAAGGTGTTCAAGAATTTCACACGATTATAAATTTTACTTGGAATACCGACAGCTAACCTTACTGTACCTAGCCACAAACAATATAAACAAAAATAGGTCTTATTCGACTTGACTCGTATTTATGGTAACAAATATGAAAATTTAATTAATTAAATAAATATAACAGACAACTTACAGAGGATATAGAAGTATCTGACAATTATTCACAATAACTTCGCCATAAAACTTTTTATTCAAATACTGAAGATTTTCATTGATAATATACAGAGATGAATGTAACCAATACTTATGTTTCTTAAGTTGGCTTAATACTGCCTTCTTTAAATTTGTATATCTGTCTTCTTTTAACTTTGTTGAGTTATTATTTTTGTCTTCCTCTTTCATTTGGATAGAACTTGCTATAAGTATTGTCATATCTCTACCACAGACTTTATTGCCAAAACTGTTTATATAACTGTAATATAATAAATTTTAAGAATTATAAAAGCACATAAACATTTGGCATATGTTTCGTGAATATTCCAAAACTCTTTAGAAACAAACACTAAACACAACGTAAATATTAAGTAAGAAATTACTTTAATTAAGTATAAGTAAGTTAATACTTACTTATTAAATATTTTTCTAGATGATACAAGATTATTCAAACTGTAACACTGTTTCTTAGCTGATTGAATCTTCTCAAGGCGTGTTAACATTTTTCTTTTATGTACTACCATTGATAAAACCTAATGAAGAAACATTAGTATTATACTTTTCAGATATATTGAAAGCTCTTATGTTAAGGCCGATGACCTTGGGCCGCCAAGATACTTGAAATGAACTATATTAGACATTGGTCATAGGTAATAGTGATAACTTAATTCTAATCTGTGGAGCCATCTAGCGATTTTTCTTTTTAAATATGCATATACTTATGGCCGATTCTTTGAAAAAATAAATAAAAATATTATTTGAAAACTAATATAATATAAATAAGTTTTGTTAAAGCAATAAGAGATTTGGCTACAGTTCCTAACTTTATTGTTATAAACAGAATTGAGTTTACATCAATGTCTAGATTTTATTCTTAGATATCATGAAGTTGCTTTGAAAATAATTAAATATAAACAGCACTTACTCTGGGGTGCGAAGACAAAATTTGATATTCCTTCAACTCCCTCAATTGGTCGAGTCTTTCTCTGACAGTCTGCGCTCGCATGCAGTACACTCTGAGACAACGTCTTTGAGCCTCTTCATTTATACCATATTCCTACAAAAATTATAAGAATAATTTATGAATAAATTATACTAAGCCAATGGAACTAAACAAATGGTAATGTGTTCAACCAATCTGTATTCATGTCCATTCAATTGAATCTTATACATAAATTTCTTGTGTCACAATGTTAGTAACCACACTGTGTCAAAATGGTTTGACCAATTTTTATAAAATTTTATATGCCTATTAAGTAGGTCTGAGACTCGGCTACTATCTATTTTTTAATCCGTCGCGACTGAAGTTGCGGGCGACAGCTAGTATAGTATATCAAAATGGCTTCAATAATTTTAACAAACAATAAAAGTGATGAAACAAACATTACCTGCAAAATTTCTCTTATTTCCAATAATGCATTATAATTATTTTTTAAAATTGCTGGTTCCATTCTTATGGCTTCTAGGATGTTATATCCAGCCAGTGAATCAACATTTTCAATAATGAGTTTAGTATTCACTGGGTCTGATGATATTATAAAGCCATTCCTTCTGATATTGGCAACATCAAATTTAATAACATTCTGTGCTAGATGCAACGCCTCTGTTATATCACACATTGGTCTGTGACGTAAAGGTAAGTAATTTTTACAATAACTTTTAAACTCATCTTCGGTGACTGATAATCTCCAAGCAAGGTATTTCTCAAGTACACTTGTTCTTACTGTCACTAAAAAGTACAACAAAATTTTAAAATTTTATTTTTGTGTTAATTAGAATCTTACTAATATCATAAATGCTTTGTTAGTAGGTATCTCCAGAACGGCTACATGGATTTCACTATAATTTGGCATAAATGTAAATCATAGCTTGGAAGAACATTTAGACTACTACTTAAGTTTTTTTTATCAGCACAGATGGATTGCAGGTCTACAGCTATTGTTATTTAAGAAAAAAAAATAAGTTTGCAACCAACTTCTTGAATCCAAATTGTTTGTCAAATAGATTAAAATGATTTAGGTGAAGGTAATTTACTTTAATGTAGGAACTTTTGATTGTAAATTCACATATTATACATTGTGTCATAACTTATATTTTTTTATACATACATATAGATGTACTTTTATCTGAGAAATTATTTAACTTTTGTTCTTTCTCCGGCCAGTCTTTAAAACAATTATGTAAAACTTCTTCTAAATTGAGATTTTCTCTTAAAATACCTTCCTTTTTCAAATTAGCTATAGTTCTAGATTTTACTAATGTGTGATATCTGAAATAATAGAAAAGTTTTTAACAACTGAGAACTTTGCACAATTTTTTATACAGTTTAGGAAACCCTTTCAACTTATTTATTTTGTATTTAACTACACTTTACCTTATAATGTATTTGGGAAGGATGTTAACAAAACAACATTCTTTTAAAATTTCTCCATAATTGTCCATACTTATTGCATTCATGCAGAATACATGGGGATCATTGCAAGCATCCTGCGCCGTTATACCAAATTTTTCAAGAATTTTAAGTACGTAGTCTATTTGTGTTTGACTAACATTTTGAAGAGTTGGATGCTTCTTTTGTAAATATAATAGTTTATCACTTGAAATCACCTCACCTAAAAAATGTTTCCAAGTTATTATAAATACTTTTAACTACTGAATGAATTAACTATGTACATCACCTGTAACTTTTTTATACAAATTTAGAAAAGGTACAATATTGTAACATTTTCTTATATTTTTGTTGGCTAGATATGATACAAAACTTTCAGATCGCAACAGAATTGAGGCCGCTTTATTTATTTGCATTTTCTTCTTGTAGTATTTCTCATCTTTTAAAAGTAAATGTTATTTATATATCTATACAGTACATTAGTTTTATTACAAATTAAATAATTGATAGTTCAGAATATAACCTTCAAGATACAATAACAATAACAAGTTTGTTAAACGTCAAATCAAATTGACATTTGACAATTTCAGTATTCTCATACATTTATTCTTTCTTTCAATTAAATTTAAGAAACTCGTCGAATTTTTGTATGGAGGTTGATTTAATAAATCAACTAGATTCTTAGATCTAAGCTTTTATTTAATCATAGGTGTACCTGAAGGTTTTCATAGTTTTTCTTATTTTATCTTGTTTTTGAACACATTCATGTATGACTTTACTAAGTGGCATCAAAGGTCTCGTAACCAGGCCATAAAACCATAAGCTCTTTAAAAAACGCGAATGTCAATTGTCAATCAATTGAGTTGAGATTTGCTTGCATGAATTATGATATTTTGATTTTCGTTGATGAAGAGGAAGTGATTGACTAAAAATTGAATTAAGTATTTTTTTTTGCCGGTATTGTAGATATAAATAATATAGATATAAACATTTCCTATGTTATAAGAACAATACGTGGTCTACTACGTCGTTGGTGTACAGTCCAGTCGTTTCAGGATTGTAACCTTTAAGTTACATTTTGTGCAGTGTTTGTGTGTGATAAATAAATAAGTCACAATTTTCGAAAAAAAAATGGATTGGAAGAGTGTTGTAGACCAGTTCAAGAAAACTTGGCTTACTACATTTCTTAGTCTTATACTGTTCTTTGGAGTTACATACTTCTTAATTTGGGCTGAGGTAAAGATGGTTCACAATAAAATTGTGTTACAGTTTTCTTACATGGATGAATACTATCTTTTGATGTCTTCTACCGTTTCAGAGTCAAACGATTCAAAGTAATCTGATGCTAGATGAGTTAATGTCTCGTGTGGAAAGTATTGATGTACACACCATTGATGATCCTGCACGTTACGAAGGTCGAGTTGTGCACATTATTGGTCCTCTTCGTATATTAGAACCTATCTCAGAACCTGACTACAATATTCAAGTACAGGCTGTTAAATTACGGAAGAGGGTACAAATGTATCAGTGGATAGAAGAGACAACGTAAGTCAAATTAAATAATTTTTTTTCTTGCACTAAGCCATTCTTATATCTAATTTTTATTTGTCTATGAATATTATACATAATGTAGAAAGTTTTAAATGCAACATTAGTTCCTGTTATTAGTTCTACTTAAATATTCTTGTAAAGAATTTTGAATAAATTAAAAATTTAATTATCGTAACTTTCGTCGTTTCAGTGATCAGCAAAACTTTTTAAGTGAACCAGGAGATGAATCACAAAAGACTTACTGGTATCATAAAGATTGGAAGGATTATGTTGTAGACTCATCACTATTCTACATAAGACCCGGGCATCAAAATCCTAATTCAATGCCAATATTCAGTGAAACACATATTGCAGAAAGTGTAAAAATTGGGTGGTTATACTTAAGTAAGTTGAAGAAAAAACTTTTTTATTTAGGCACACAATGATATTTATTTCTTTAATTTATAAATTTTCCCATATTCACAAATTGTTGTTTACCAGGCTTAGATGTAAAACGTAAAGTGAATGACTATTACGAGATATGGTCTGACTCAAGACCGGAACGCAGTGATATCAAGTTGCACTCTGGCTTCTATTACCATGGAGTAAGTGCTCTGGAACATGAGGTCGGAGATCTTCGAATACATTTCTCTTACGCGGGACGTGAGGATGATATCGTAAGTTATAACATATTATCATAAATAATTGTATCATTGGTAAAACATAGATTAACGATAATCAAGGTAATTTATAACTGAAAGGTTATTTTTTTTTATATCATAAGGTTGCAAACGAGCAAGCAACCGTTGCCCATAGACAAACACAATTGCATATGCGTTGCCTACCTTTAATCGACGGAGGAAAGGATATACTGAGAGGAAATATTTTCCCTTTCCATGCTTTCCTTATAAGAAAAAGGGTGGGAAGGGAAACAGGGCTAAATTAGGCCTCCGGGACTCCCACTCATCAGACGAAACGCGGAATTGCTACCACTTCACGTCTGTCTTCTGTGTGGTCGTGGTATTTCACCGGGCGAGCCGGGACAATTCGTGCGAAGATGTTAAAGTGAACTCTACCACTGTTAAATTAACTATATTAAGCTTTAGCTATATTGACACATGTCTTTGATTTTTTAAAGACAATGTGAGGTATGGTGTGTCAAACAAGGAAAAAAAAGCAATTAATTTATGTTTATTATATAACAACGTAAATATCACTAAATAACTATGATAAATAATAAGTAATAAAAAATATTAAAGACGGCTGTTATTAATTTTCCAGTATACTGCGGTAGGTGTGGTAGAGTCTGGTTCTCTACAACCATATAGTCCTGTCAACTTCCCATCAGCGGATCCAATATCGCTTCTCCGCAAGGGCTCGTACACTCTGAAGTTTTTACATGACTTGGAGATACAAGATGCCAACATACATACATGGAAGTATCGTTTGGTCGGCTTCATACAAGTATTCGCTTCAGCTATGACTTTACATCCGGATTGGATCACTCTGTGTAAGTTTGTTTTTAAATAGCTTTTTCTTGTTGAAATTAAGACAAGTGTTAATAGTTTATTTTTATTGATTTCAGTTCTTCAGTGCAAATGGATATCTGGCGTTTTCCGACGCTGTTCACGGTTGTGGATTAATTTTGTGTTGTCTTTCTCCTATACTTTATTTGTTATGTCAGTGCCTTGGTAAGTTTCTTAGTATATTTGACCTGTGTTTTTATCATTGTATAAAAACTTAACATGGGTTTTTGAGACGAAAATCTCCATTTAAAACATATTATCTCTGATTTGTAGAAGATGTCCAGGGATGACGAAATGTTTTATACAGTTATTTTGGTATCAGAAACTAAGGGTTAATGCTTGTTTTCGTCCTTTCAGGTTGATCCATAGGCCAATATTCGGGGCAATGGTGATGGTAGGCGCAGCATTGCCCCTGCTGCATTACTCCACGCTGGTGAACCGGGACGAGAGGTTCAGGCAGGCGGGGTACGCGCACTGGCATGAGCGCTGACCCACCCCCATGCTGCTAGCGCCCCCTCTCGCTCTCACACTTGGGGAGTTGGTTAGCCTCTCCTTCATGGCGATCTTTTATGCAGCCATTTTAATCGAGGATGTTGCTATTGATCAGCTGTAGTGATGTGAAATCAGTGCCGTTGGAAAAGAACACGCCTATTTGACTGATGTTTTTGATGTTTATTAAAATTGTTGTCATTCTTATAATGTGATGCCACGGAAGTTACATTCAGAAAGTTGACGAATTGATAATGAGGTGTAACAGTTTGATGTAATGTGAAATCTTTACAGATTGGATTATAGAAGATGATTTATGGCCGAATATGAAATAATTTGTATGGGATTATAGGATTTAACATCAGAAAAAATGTTTATTTCGAACAGTTGCTGTGTTAGACTTTGTAATTCGTGTATTGATGTAAGTAACTATGAAAAATAAAACAACAGAACTCATTGAATTAGATAATAAAGATGTACTTTAAGTGTCCCGCATACTTGTAGATATGAACTGTAATTTATATAAATTAAGATAAATGATTGACATTTTATACAATTGTTTGAATAACATGAGGGATTTATTTTGAAACTTAGCTAAAAACTGATTAATTTACTAAATCTTTTGCTCAAAAAGTATGTTGGTTGAAGTATGGTACTTGGTTTTAGCAAAAAACTTTTTACATACTTAATACAATTTTCCAAATCATTTTAGCTTTTAGTACATACGGCAACTAAAATATCCGAAAACCTCCTAATGTATTTGTTTTAAAATCGCCAAGAAACCGTGTAGTTCGTCTTAGTTTCTATGGAGTTTAACAGATGATTTTAATAACGCCTAGAAATTTTAACTAGCAATTTTTTCTTACTGACTTGTATTCTTCGTATCCTAACATATTGTATTATTTTAGAAACGCACAGTTTATCGATATATTTGATGTGTAATTTTTATATATAATGTAATCATTTATATAGTAAATAAAAGCGATGAAGAATCGTATCCCATACGTTAGTCGAAGTATTTCTGTAGTTTGTAATGCATTCATATATAATATTTATTAAGTTCTTAAGATATATCAACTAGTCATTATAAATTAAGTTTAGTAGTAGAACTTTGACTGTTAGTTATAACCCATATCATAAACGAACCAAATACTGCTAAGTCCATTTTCTACCTTTTATACTGTTAATTATATAAGCACTAAGAAATTGTGGAAATAGCTAAAACAAGATAAGCAATTTGTTCAAATCTCTTACGCGAGACTCAAAATATAATTGTTTCCATATAAAAATTATATACAAGCGTAGTACATTTTTTTTGCGATTTAGTGCATGGATGGCTCTTTTAATGCCTCTTAATTATTGAAGGTTTGCTGTCAGATCAGCGAAACCATCCCTGTCCTGTGTCAAGTGAATAAATTGTTCAACACTGACAATTGTAGTCCATTCCCGGATGTTTCTTAACCATGACTTTCTTTTCTTTCCAATCTGACTTCAGTCTGCGATTTTGTACATCATTATTACTTGAAGAAACTCATATTTTTCGTGTCACAAGATATAGCGCAAATATACAAGTTATTTCTGATTGACGCCCTTCAGTAATTCGCGTTACCTGTACGAAGCGCTGGTATACGAGTATGGATTATTGTTATTAATAATTTTTATTTAAAAGAGATTCGAACATTTCTATTTACATAATATCACGGCAAATTAATAGAAACATCCTGTATACTTTCTTATTATAAAATAAAAAACGTAATATGTTAAATGTAATGCAATAAACTTTATTCTTAAATGTATAACTAAACTGTGTATTTAAATTGAGAATTTTTACAAATAATTATATTGTAAGGATAATATTAAATCAATTAATAATGGATCTCTAATCTCGTTTATTAAAATGTAACCAAATAATTAACCAATAATTTCTAGTATGGATGTAACAAGTAAAGGAAAGTATTAAACAATCGTCTTTTATTTAACACCCTATAGTTACCTTAAATACTTAAATACAATAGCATTTTTGTCTCACATAAATACGAGAGGGACGTAATTGACATGTGCGCAATTAATTCCTACTTTTTCTAGTTTTTAATGCTGTTATTTTCGATGAAAAACAAGAAGTGCGGTTGTCCTGGTATTGCTGATGTCCATGAGTGCCGATGAACACCTCTGTGTTCCCGCTGCTCGTTTGTCTCCTTCTCTTATATAAAAGTAAACATTCATGGGTGCAGGAATGTAAAAGAATTCTCCGTGACAATCGTAAGAAAAGATTCAGTTATTTTATTAAAAACTTACTGTGACTGATAAGAGAAACTGTTTTCATCTATAATTTTTAGTTTTATTTGTTTGGTTAAAATTAGTGACAGCAGAATTGCTAATAACTTTTAACATTTTATATATTAGTTGTTATTGTTGCGATATAATTATACAAATGGTATCTGAATGTATATGCCTAGTCGATATGCTTTTTTATGTAATCTATTCGCATGCGCAGTTACGTACCAAAGACGATCAGCTGATTTTACTCCACCCTCGATATAACGTAATGTTTATTTTACAAAAGGTTGTGAAATTCAATAATTTAAATAATAAAACGAAATTAAGTGTGTCCTGTAATGTAAATTGTTTATTCCTATGACGTATACATTATTTTTCATATAGTTAACTAATATAATTATTATAAAATATAGGTTAAATATAGAAACATGAAAGCTGCAGCAATGTCCGTGTGGGTTTTTATTAACCTATTATGTTTTGGTATGTGTGGTTATTTATATTTAATCTGGTCACAATATTGGATGAATATCGAAAGACAAAGACTGTTCAACAAAACACCAAGCAATCCGCAACGCTACAATGGTCAGGATTTAATGTACCAGCAAACATACTCTGAAAAACATAGCACAAACTCAATAACTTATTCTAGAGAAAATGATGACGGACATAAGAATAGAAGATCTATCGTGGCTATGAAGAATAATGCGAAATTGTATCAGGCTTCTGGTACGCAAGTTCGACCGTCTGCAAACGTTGTAGTGAAAAGTGGAAGTCCACGATTTCCGAATATACATAAACCTATCTTAGAGTTTGATAGCGAAAAATACGTTTGTGACGATTACTTGACGACTGAGTGCGAGACACGAACTGCTGAATTCAGAACTTTGTTATTAAAAGAGTTTCATAGGGTTTTAATGAGTGAAAGCAAAGTCTTCACATCAGGATTAAATTCTCAGAATCAGTACGATGTGCATTATGAAAGGGGGAGTTGGAAGGAACCAACAAAGAAGGATATACTATGCGCTTTAGCGGGTGTTTCTGTTAGAACTGTTACAGCAGAAGACGAGCCTTTCAAGAGACTTAATTATAATATACCCAAGGAGCCATTACAACAGCATCGGTCATTCAACACATGTGCTGTAGTGACTTCTGCAGGGTCATTATTGGGCTCGCACTTAGGCGATTTTATAGGTGAGCATTAGTCATTTTGTTTTGCTATGTTATTAGATTAGCTTAAAAATACATACATAATTTTTAACAGTATGTATGTCTTGTAATATTCTTGTAATTGCTTAACATTTGAAATCGCATAAGCATAGAACATCTGTGGCAAAGCTTTTGGAAAGATTTTTATTAGCCTATTCTTATAACGTAGGTAATATACAGGGCGTTGTGCATTTTGATAAAATGATGTTACATTAAACTGGTTATTCACGCCCGCGCATTTATGAATCACAATGGTACTATAGTAAGTGTACGTTTCTAGTTACGAGTTTATTTTTACAGTTACCGTCCCCAATGTGCTGTCAGTAACTAGCTTTACTAATTTTAACTCTTCTTATTTTGTCGCGGGTCAATGACCCAAAATGGGCGCATTTGCAACACGTGATAGTGCTCAAAGAGTCGGTTAACTGATCTAAATCCGAATTAGTGTGCATGTTTAATTACATGCTATCGCCCAAAAAAGAGAACTTATTTAACACGACTAATGTCCTACTTAGAAATACTTAGGAGTAAGATTCTTTGACATCTCTTTACGAATTGCAATAAATTATGTTGACAATTTAAATACCAGAAATAAAAAAATCAAACGAGGTCTGAAATGGGAATTACTGTTTCCCCTTTCACTCCTTATCTCTGTTAAGTCCCTTCATCTTTTCAAAAAATGACAATGTCAAAAAAGCAACCTGGGAATGTTAAATAACGTTCCACTAATATTCACAACTTGGAATTAAAAAAAAAATTAACTGACATTTATTATACGAAGGAGATTTTGTAAATCGCAAGTCGTATATCTCAGTCGAGGGAAGATGTAAAGTTTCCGCTTTCGTTCCATGCACAGAAATAGCACGGGAATATTCTTTGTAGATATGATAATAGGCTGATTGTTGTATTAAAGTTCGTAGTGGTGCGGGTGACAGGTGAGCGACCGTGTATTGTTGCAGCTATCTTCGCTGCGGATCTTTTTTCTTTGTAGACGCATTGTCATGCGTGCTAGCCCGCCTTCGGCGAACGTCCCAAATCATATGCGAATTACGTGAATTACTATTGTTCACGGGGCTTTACTGATTACTCACAGACACAAATCAAACGTGTAGACAACTAGGTACCTTTGCGAGGTGCCGACTATTTATTATCGACCGAAGGAAATATATGCAACGCGTTTTGCATCGTGAAAAGTAAAAAATATTCAATTCTATACTCCATACCAAAGGATTTACATTTAAAAATGTTCTAACAATTTTTAAAATATTTAGAAATGTTCATGCAAATAATGTTGCCGCTGCAGTAAGTTATATAAATACTGGTCTACTTAAACGGAAAACCAGGGTGTAAATGTAAAAAAATCGATTAATGGTAGGTTTAGTAAGCACAATTTTTTTTTAAAGTGGAGGGATCAAACGAGCAGCGGGAATATTTATTTTTAATGTATAATTAAAGCGCTCTGTGCATATTAGTACTACATCCTTTTTGTTTACTAATACCATGTTTTTGTTTATGTAACATGTTAATTCTCTTAATTAAATATTTGTTTATTTCACATAGCGTAGCAATGCTTAGACGATGCAGAATAACGAAGTGGTACGTGACAACATTGTTTTTAGAGATAATTCTAATAAGCTCATACAAATCGTGGTTTGGTGTTGATTTATTCATGATCGTAGAGAATCTAGCAGAAGATATGCATAGGCGACGTCTGGCCGAGCTCGAGCTATTGCTAGTTTCACACGAGGGCATAACAGTGAGTTAGAGCAATAGTCAGAGGAGTACTGCTACTGCATGATAAACAGTACTGCTATGTTTTGGTTCGTGGTGTGTTCAATCAATTGCCGTACTGAATTGTCTTCTGCTCTGTCTCACTACTGTCCACGTGTGAAACTAACATATCGAAGCAAGGGCTCGCTGGCGCCGCGGCAACGCATACCGCTCTATAAAACTAACGCGTTCGCATCGGAAAATCCAACTAGTACTTAGTAAAAACTCTTATCGACAACATTTGCATGCTCACAATATTCAAGATCGGAACAGATTACACTAGTACGAAATAAAAGCATCATGTCTCGAAGTATGCAGTACTAGCTATTGCCCGCGACTTCGCGGAATTTAAATAAAATATCTTAGTAAGCAGTAAGTAGCCTATGTGCTCCTTCAGACTATGGTCTACATGTATGCAAAATTTCGGCGAGATCCGTTGAGCCGTTCTTGACATACGTAGAAACGTATTAACTCTGTTTACATTTTACACGTCATAAAAAATATCTATCTATCTATAGTATGTATAAAAATCAATTGCTGTTCGTTAGTCTCGCTAAAACTCGAGAATGTATGAACGGATGTATCTTGGTCTTAAAATTTTCGTTGAGGTTTAGAGAAGGTTTAAAAGGTGTGAAAATTTGAATGATTGTCAGGACCTAATTTTGTCTTTTTTTTAATTCCTGGCGGACGGATCGCGGGCGACAGCTAGTTTTATTATGTAAAATTTTCTCAATCACTTTTGCATTATAAAGTTTATAAAAGCGAAGTTTTCTTTATTTTTATTAAACATACAACGATATAATTTCTTCTATGAGTAAATTCGAATGCGCATTCTACAAATCGGAAGTCAGACTTTGTTGTTCTGAGCTGTCATCGCGCAGTTGTGTAGCGTTACTTCCTTAGCAAATAAATTGCATCGCATGATTCATTTAACAAACCATATTATTATGAATTTTTATGTTAGTCATACAGTAACCGCAAACCATGTCTTTGTCCTTTTTCGAAAACTTTGATAAGTTTATAGCTCAGACGTGGGACAGACAATTGACGCGTTGTCACCTAAATGACTCGTCAAAACCAAGTCGAATGTATGGACCCTATTCAATATATTTTCTACTCCTGTGAGAAACAACGTTTTTAAGAAACATCGCTGTCGATGTTTCTTAAAAACGATTAAATGAAGAACAATGTAGACAATTCAAATTTATTGAAGTTTCTTTAAATGCTACGAAAATCAATCCAATTGTGATGATTTACAAAATGTATTTAGAAAATAAATAGTTGGTAGGGTAGCCACCCATTCTTCAATCGCTAAAAACATCGATTTTTGTAGCGATTTTTAGATAGCAGTGTCCTGCCTACATGCGTCCAGAACTGGTTTAAAATGATAAAAAAATAAACGTAGTACTTGTTGACAGAAAACAAAACAAACAAGATCGTTGTTGTTTCCATAAATATTGTGTTACGGATAATGTTTAGCGGTGTAATTAGCTTGTGGTGCTAATTGAACGTGAGATGAAGGGGGCATGAGGTTTGTAGCAAGGGTTGCGGGGTGCGGGGTCGTTCGCGTATTGTTTACATTGTAGAGGCGTCGCGCCGGCGCGCGGCTGAGCGGGGCCGTGTCATCAACCTGCACGTGCATAGGGCCTGCATAATTCATGCGCATGGACCATTGTGTTTGCGATCGCTGAACGGTCCTACAATTCTGCGCACAACTGCGCATTTTATCATAAATAATTTTAAATTAGTCTCAAACACGAAATTTGCTGCTTGTTTACTCTGAACACGTGTAATCGTTATGTAAAGAGGTTAGTATATTACGCACGAGTATTTACAACGCGTGGGTACATATAAAGTATGAACGTGTAAGCCTCAGATCGTAATTACACTTTAGTTATAATATTAACTTTTGTGTATAAAATAGTTAAGATAAAATCTTCATATAAATTTTACAAAAGATATATAAATATTGTGTTCATTATAGTTTTGTATTTTACAAGCAGATTATATAATTAACGATGTTGTTTAAATTTTTATTGTCTCTCAGAAAAGGCATAAAATATGTTTACCCTACCCTCCTTATCAAAATCTCACTCTCGCTTTTCCTGGTTGTAAATACAATGTGTTGGTATGTGTCATGTACATGAGAAATATAGACACCAAAGAAATGAGCGTGAATTATGACTTTTCCTATTAAATCTATAATTTTAGAGGTACTACACTTTTAAATTTTGTACTGTCTTGAATGAGAAGAGTTTTTAAATAGAGTATCCAATTCGAATTAATTATATATTTTATGAAATATCCTAAATTATTCTAGTGATTGGAAAAAACCTACTTTCTTCTTTGATGTATTGCGTGAGATGTCGCCAGTATAGAATTAAACTATGAATAATGATAAACGTAAATACTTTTAATTCACGTTATGTAAAATATATTGGGTATTTGAATTATTCCTTGAATGTAAATTTAATTGTATGAATAATTTAATCAAGGAAAATAGACGGGAAATTATAAAATTTAAGTTGATATTATACATGCCACGCGTAGATATATGGATGATATTATTATCATAGGTGATACACATATCAATTATTCAATTCTATTGTAGAATAACATAGAAACATTTGATCAAATTTAATTTTAAATTATTTAAATTTTACAAACTATTCCTATCTAGTAAATTCGCTTATTGTTTTTTAATTATTAGCATTGGAAAATGTCAATTGCGATATTTGCTAACCATACATAAGTTGCTACGTATTATTACGTTATAAATATATATCGACTATTTTAAAATCAAATACGTATTAAAATTAAACAATGTACTTAAGTACTTATTTCATTGGTATTGTAGATTTCTATTTTGCGGCCAAAATCCATTTAACTACCTAATTTCTTTTATTATTCTCACTGATGTATCATTTGCTTAAATGGAGCGTAAAATGTTTTGTCCGTTTTCAAGGCTTCGCACGTCTTATGACCGACAAAGGGTACATTTCAAATTGTCACTAAACATTTGATGAGGGTCTTTATAAATATGTAATTACATACGATGAGAATAAAGTAGTTACCACATTTTTGTTTGACTTCTGTTTATATAATTAATTTTGACAAATGATTTGGCAACGCATCTGCAGTTCCTACGGTATTGCGGTTGTCTATGGACGTCGATGATCACCACGATGTTCCTGTCGCTTGTTTTCCACTCCTCTTATAAAAATGATATGATCTACCAATATAATGAAGTAATAAAATTATAATTAAAGTAAAATTGCATTTTCTCTATCGGAACTAGTAATACCTACTCCCTGTGCAAATATGGCTTCCGGCACATGGCCAGGGTCGAGGCCCGCATGTAAAATCATATGCAAGTGACATCTGTATAGGAAAATATAATGACAGAAGATCCTGGTTTGAATCATACGCAGTTAGTTATGTAAAAATATATTTTTATAAGCTTTATATGTTTGTTAATAAATCAATTAACCATAGAGATAGCAGATTCATATAGTTCAAAGTAACAATATCTTTAGCAGTCATTTACAAAATATCTCTTTCCATTTTCCACAGATTCACATGATATGGTGCTAAGATTTAACAACGCCCCTACCGAAAACTACACCGGAGACGTCGGTTCAAAGACAACGTTCCGCGTCTTGAACTCTCAGGTATTTATAATAGAGATTTATTGAAAATGAGAGATTCTCTTCTTAATAATGTGACTATTCCCATTTTTAAGGAAATCAATCCAATCCAATTGTCTAACTGTGCTCCCATCTTATTGTAATAAGTGGATATTAGGATTGATTACATCACCACCGTGAGAGTGGATTGAGAAATCAATCTCACGTACATAATGTATGGCATAATTTGTTTACTTACGTGGTATTAATATTGATAGTTTGACAAATTTCGAGTTATAAGTACATGTATGATTAACAAATGCACTTGAATAAAATAAATTTTGGATATATAACCAGTGGATGTCTGAATTCAGGAGATTCGAATTTTACATTTCTTTAAAAATGTTGCACGAGTTTCTTTTGTTTTCTGCCTGGTCTTGTTTTACAAGTACAACAGTTAACACTGCTGCAAACTTTGCTTCTGTTGTACTAGCAGCAGATACTCGTAAATGTTAACTGAGAGCTTTTTTAACTAGAAAATTAAAATGATAATCCGTGTAATAATTTCACTGTTTATCAAATACTTTCGGTGGTCGGTTATACGTCATAAAATAAGGGTTTTCCATTTTACGTATTAATATTCGACGATTCCAGTGAAATTTTACGTATTACACATATTGAAAATAAATGTAATTTACAAATTACGTCAAGAGCATATTCTTCGCTAATGAATTTCCATTTTGGACCAAAGTATTTTTTTACTTTTACCTCGGTTTACCTTATTCGCTTTTCAGGCAGCCAACAGGCAACGTAATTGTATGGTATTGACGACTGATCGCATTCGATATATGCCTTATAGATTCCCCTACTAATATAAATGTACTGTAAACAGTACCTAATATAGTAATTTTAATTTCACTAATTACTTTTCGAAGAATTAAATGCAAAATTATTACTGAACTCAACATGCCATTCAAAATATTCATTACATACCAGGAAAAGTTTTTTTTTTAAATTCTAGGTCGTTACAAAGCCCGAATTTAAATTCTTAGAGGATACCTTATACAAAAACGTTTCAATAATAATATGGGACCCGGCAAACTATTCATCAACTTTGGACGAATGGTATCATCACTCCGACTTTCCTCTTTTTCCTGTTTACAAAAGGTACTTTCAGAAAATATTTGGTTTTACATTTTTGTTTTCTTTACCTCAATGTATGTACATGTTTACATAATAATGAATATTTTACGTAGATTACTTGAAATACGGCCAAAAGCTGACGTACATTTACTACATCCTAATGTGTTGTGGAGTTTATGGGCGGTGTTGCAGAACTCGTCATCTTATCGTCTCAGGAGGAACCCGCCATCTTCTGGTTTCATTGGTAAATTGAATATATTAAATATATTATTTTATATAATACTGGAAGCTTAATATTTCTACGACATATAGAAGTGGTATTACTTTTTAAAATACAAGCACTGTACCTACTTAATTTTATTAACGTTAGTGTTTACCCGAGACACCGTCAAAAACCCTTTTGGGAGATTAGCCTGAACAAACGCGGACGGAGAAACATATATTAAAAAATTGGTCTTTCTTTAATAATTTCACAAATACATGATGGAAAATGTAATTTCTCCTATTTTATTATAGTCAGTCAATTTTTGTACTATATAGATAACATACAATATTTAGTACCTATATTTTCGTATTATAGATTTAATATAAACAAGATATCATTACTGTATATAGCAACATGATATTTATTTGTAGTCTGAAATTCTCAATTCCGGTATGATTTGTGTGTATCCAGGTGTTTGGTTCGCGCTGCACCGGTGCGGTCGCGTACGCGTGTTCGAGTATGTACCATCGAGCAGAGCCACGCGCCGTTGCCATTACCACGCCCCCCGCGCAGACCCCGCCTGCACCCTTGGCGCCTGGCACCCGCTCGCACAGGAGAAGGCCCTCGCTGAAGCAATACGAGATAATTCCGATATCGATGTCTTTCAAAGAGGCTTCATAGATATCCCAGGAGTTAACACAATCAATTGCAATAATTAATTAGCTTATCGTTAATGCACAAGTCTTCCAAAGAGCTTTTCACTTATATTGATAGATTTTTATTAGTTAAAAAGGTCATGTTTTGCCTGATTATAATAAAAATGCGTGGCTTTATAATTTGTTGTAATAAGCTTGATATTTATAGTAATAAGATGTTGTCTTCCTGATTAGAATAGGTTAGTAAGCTAATTATGTATTTAAAATTTAATACGACTTGTAATAAATTTTTTGTGGCTTTTATTCGAGGCCTTTATTTATAGTGTGATGCGGTACAGTTTGTCCGTCGAACAGGAACGAATATTAGACTGTTTTTATGAGATTCATGTAAGGCCATGTCGGCCATGAGGCGCCCTTGTTGTAGTATCTCGTATTTTTAGCGATTTGCTATCACGCAGCGGGCATCGCTCGCCCGCTGAATACTGATGGGTGGGCGCGTTGTGGCTGGCGATTAGCGATTCCGAGCGAGCGCACGGAATTAGCGCGACATCCGAGAAGCTGCGCAGCGACTTCGTTACAGGCTCCCAGCGCCCTCCGCCGCACCGCTTCCTACTTCGCAGCACGATGTTAACTACTGCTCACATACTCTACTCGCCCTCGGCATTCATGAATTTAAATTGATTTTTCATAATAACCATCCATTCGTATTCCAAAAGCACGCGCACTGGTTGACAAGAAAAAATAATTTGACAGGATGCTCTTTAATTAAAAATGTAATGGATGCAATGGTATAATCCATTAACTGTCCTGGACAATGTATCTTGTTTTGCGTGCTAACGTCTCGTAGGGTCAACGGCACTGATGTATTTCGTAGAATAGGTCGGAATGCGGTTTCGCGACGTGATGAGTGTACGGAGCTGAACTGCACTAAGGCACTAGGTATTCCGCAAATATGTGAAGGTAATTCAGTCAGTGTACTAGGAAGCGCTGGAATAGTGCCTAGCCCATCCCTAGTCGTGGCACATTGCCAATCGTAATAGATAGCGCCTTAGAGTGATTATAAGTTATGGAATTTTTATATACGTCCATATAAGGCAATGCATGGAAGTTTGCATATTTATGCGTTGAGTATAAAAAATAGCATTATTAAGGGTTTGATGGTATTCTTGTTAGAATGACAGTTAAGTTGTGGTTGAATGACCTTCAATTAAGTATTTAATTTTACACATAAAGGCGGACGTGAATTACGGAAATGACGTTAATTACCTGTAATATTCTGCGTGTATCGCCATGGGCCGACACACCATTGGGAATTCAAGGTGCTCTGCGAACGCTGCGGTGTAATGTATGCAACGTGCTTGTATAGGAAGTGTTAAATTTAAAATATACTACATGTTTATTATAATATATTCTCAAAGATTTAAAAATATAGAGTTATTTTTGTCACTATGTCTATTTTTGTTGACTCGTAAATATTGCGAATGGGTATTTTTCACAGTTTTTACTTTAAATGGATAGTTTTTTTAATTTGAAAAGGGTCATTTGAATGTTGTCAAGGTTCACTGTTTTAAATAATCTGTAGGGACGAGGATAAGAATGTTGTCGACAAAATATTTGCAGGCGCCTCGCGTTTGTGCGTGTAATGATCGTCGACATATTGAAGATTTATTTTATTACTTACGATCGCCGTTGGTTTGCAGATTTTGGCAATGGAACTACATCGAATTAAGATGCATTCAAGAAAGACGAAAACAACATAAGGGATTTTAAAATTGTTGGGATAAAAAAATGGGAGTGGGTTGTTTTGGTGAAGATTAATTTTTCTCTCATAGTTACGATGTCCTTTAAAGCTGTGCTTAGATAATATTGTTTGTGATTAAGTTTAAGGAAAAAGATCAGTATGTAAGTTCTAAAATAAACATTTTAAATTTTAATCTTTTCAGTTGTTCTAATGGATTGAATTGGTTTTTGACTCAATTTTAAATTACAGACTACATACATATTTGATATCAAGTTTGTCAACATTTTTCGTTGTGATATGTTTAAGTTATTGAACGACCTTGTTTTAGAATGTATTGATAGTAAAACTTGTTCTGAGTGACGTCATTCTGCAATGCTTTTGGAATTTCCGAGTCGACTGATTAGATGCCTTTGATCGGTATTGACCTTAAACAACATCTAACAAATAGTTGTTATAACTATATTTGTGTATATTCTTTTTAATATTTTGTAAATTATTTCTTAAGAGAATAAAAGATGCGAAGAGTTTTTGCATGCGGACTAACGACTTTTGAAATTAATCGGTCGTTGTAAACCAAGCGATGTGCAGGGACTCAGTTGAATAGTATTATTGGGCCAAATTTATGGAATGTGAGTGAATTTAATATGTTACTTATATTTTTTAATCAGTAAATTACGTACTCAAAATCTTTCTTCTTCTTAATGCATATAAAATATATTTTTGTGATATCAAAAAAGATACAATTGCTGCACACATATTAATGGTTTTCAAAACTAATGCGCTGTAAAGAATACCACACAATTGTAGATTTTATTTAAAACGAATTGAATTTCGCATGCGGTCGCTAACGACTAAAGAAAACGCCCCTTAAGCAACCTTGGCTACGCATCAATATTTGCACAGAAACAAAAAGGGAAGTAAAAGGATGTACTAGAAGAAGATCAAAGTCATCTTATTATTTATGTTTATAAGAAAAAGTAATAACTAAAGCTTTAAATGTTACGTACTTTATCTAGTCAAGGAAATTTTTCCATATATTTTAAGATTTTTGTTCTTATGACGTCGCTGTTATTGTCGTCTTCAATAAACAACATCCCGACGTATGCGGTATTTATTTTATTTTGCTAAAGTAATTCAATCGGTACTTGATAGTTTGTCGAAATTCAGAGGTTTTATAATAAAGATCCAAATCGATATGTCTGACTTGTAAATAACGGTATTATGTTCTTCAAATGATGTGCTCGTACACATGTCAATGCATCGTATGAATCACATCGATTCACTACAGTTCTCAGTTCGATGGCTGGCTCATTATGTACACACACCGACTAACCTTGGACAGGATAATGATACGTACCTACAGGCACAAACAACGCGCTTTATATTTGTTATAAATCAAATTAAATAAAAACAGGATAATTCTCTAGTCATTAATTAGATTGACTTCGTATTTCCCTAAAAATATTATAGAAAAATCGTCCGATGTTAGGACAGTGATGTATGAAAATGTGCAATATATGCGCCCACCTTTTAAACTTTATGCTTTTATACCTAACTAGGTGTCCCCCGTGACAACATCCATCGGTTATTAAAAAAAACTTAGTAAGTGGCCTATGTTTTCTTCCACACTATGTTCTACATCTTTGCCAACTTACAGCGTAAGTCATGAAGCTGTTTTGGAGATACCATCTAACAATCATACGTCCTCCATCCAAACTTAGGTGTTATTTTGTTAATAGTCTCCAGAAATTTCATAATTGTTAAAATAATTACCGCTCGTTATACCTACTTATTTAAGCTACGTCTGAGACGACTTAATAAATATGGTGGTTAATTATTTTATTAAATAACAAACGTAAGCAGTTACGTCAATGAATGCGTCTTCTTACCATCTATTCGACGTTTTCCCTAATCTTGCGTACTTAAAAGATCGTCTTACATCGAACCGGTGGATTGTAATTGCAATAAAATCGATTCACAGTATTAGAGTTTATAAATCAAGATAATTATATAATAACTTAATGTATACATTGTTGAGGAAACTCTTAACAATTGTAATTTTGTCGTAAATGATTCAGTGCGTTACTCATAAAGCTTGAAGACAAAACTTTCCTAGTTCATTGACGTAGTTTACGGCATTGTTAGAACTGTATGTAGGGCGAAAGATGATTTGGCGGCTACTCGCCACTGGATACTGGCACACTTTAATTAATCTTGTTTCAGAGAATGCCTGTGTTAGCTTTGAACCCAAATTGTCCTAAATATTCTTTGTTGTGACTAATCATTGTGATTTAACAATAAAGTACATTTATATACATACTTTTCTGTGAGTTGTAATCACAATAATATTAATCACTTGCTTCCGCCCGCGATTTACTCTGCGTAGTATTAAAAAAGGGTAAAAAGTATCTCTCGTAATAACTCGAGACTATCTCTTTTGTATATCTGTGCAAAAATTCAATAAAATATATTGAACCGTTGCGAAGTAATCGAGTAAATATGTAAAGCAAAGGTATTTCCCACGAACCGTACATGTTTCTTAGATCATAGGTAGCCTAATTGTTCTTCCACATTGTGCTCTTAGTATATACTAAATTTAATCGAGATCCAAGGACCTATTCTGAAGATGTAGATACCTTCTAATAAACATACATCTATCCAACCATACGTCCAAAAATTAGCAGCATCTTAATACTGACCTTAGATATTACCCATATATCGATAAAATACAGTAGATTTAATTTTAAAAGGGACCGAAATGAGGTTTTTTATTCTGCACTAAAGAAGCCGCGAACTCTTTCGCGGGAACTTTCGTATTCAATTCGGGTCTGGGGACATGTGGTTAGAGTGAGTCAGGACACCGTCATCGCTTGCTCGAGGCAATCATAGCACCCACGCGAACTGATAACTATCACTTATGACTATCAAAGCTGGTAAAAACACACCTGATTTGAAATCTAACAAACGGAGAGTCACTAACATTGGAAATGTGTGTAAAAGAAATTGCCGTATTGAAAAACCAAGAAGAATTATACACCATTGTAGAAAATTATCACTTACATTTTATATAATATTTATTTTTTATGCACACGAGTAATCATACAAATTTAACCCACAGATCTTAATAATCAGGAGTTGGACCAACGTCTATAACAGTATGCCTAGAACAATGTGATTCATAACATTAATTTTTAAGTAGTACGGTACAACCTTTCTCGTGAGTCAAGGTTTAGGCGTTCAATCACAAATTGCTTTCAGTTTAATTGCTTTAATATTTAGTTTTATTGGGAGACGTAATCATTTTTAACATTTCAAATGTTTC